ATTTCGAGTTCGCACTACTTTAGGGCTCGACGTTAGATAACTCGACCGACATGGTGGCTCGTCGGCACTTATGAGGTGTGGCTCGCAATCTGTGGCCAAGACTTATTTATCCGTCCGGTGTATTTCTGCGCGTCTATTTATGACCGGTTTGACGTTTGCTACGTGCCGGCTCAACAATTTGTCGCTCCGTAACAGGGCTGCGGTCCCTGGGTGGGGCTTGCGCGTCACGAAAATATCCCGCGGAAACGTCCGGGATTCGAAACCGTTTCGCGTCCAAATTTGGTGACGTCACAGCGCTCCACGCAATGGCCGATACGTCGATCGACGCGGCGACCGTTGCGTCGGTGTCCCGTCACGGTCAACGGATCATTTCCCAGTCGGAGAACCTGCCGGGAGTTGTTCGGAGATCGGCGCCAATTCGATTTGGCGTTTTGATTTATGACTTCGAATGGAAATTAACTGTTGGCATATTTCAGTTGATGATATTTTTTTAGACTTTGATGATTTTGTGGTGCAGTTGCTAAGCCAATTGCTGCGGCGTTCCGTGGTCGTGGGTACGATTCCTATACGAGACAAGGATTTGTGTGGATTTCGGGTATATCTGGATCTGGGTGTTTGTTCCCAACGAGGGTTGACGTCAGGCAGGCGGTGGATTCTTAAAAAACCTAGCCTTTAGTAACATGATCCATATGTTACGCGCAATAGGCGTCGTACATCCGTACGTATGATCCAAACAAATGATTGACTGAATGTACGTTGTATAAAAAAGAAACGCGGTTTTCGCACAATGACATGACAACTGAAGATCATTTCATAGTAAGGGAGGACAAAATCAGGGTTGTGTGAGAGAGAGCGTGGAATTCCGGTTACCTTACGTATAACGCAAAAGTACAGATACTTGACGCCGGTCCTTGAGTGTAAGTTGTAGAGCCAAGCACAATGTTGACAACAAATAACGTTGTCATGACACTAAACATGTATCCTTTGAGTGTGTCTTATTCTCGTGTCGTTTTAATTGTCTCTGATAAATAGTCTTGTGTTTGCATCAATCAATCAAGTATCTTCTTTGTGTACGTTTCTAAGATACGGTCCACTCAGAATCGGCGGATTCCCGCGAGCGTCGCCTTCAATTGTACCAAAATGAACTGCACTGAACAGACCAGAACCAGACCGTTGACAACGACTCACTGACTGGAATTGGTTACCGTGAGCCCGAAAGTATTATCGTTTCGCTCGCAACAGACCTCAAATAACACTTAGCGATAAAAAAAAAAAACTGAAGAAATTACTTTTGTCCTCGTACGAATTTCATGAGCTCAATAAACGCAGGCGAGGTGAGTCGTTTCACATTTCAAATGTCTTTAATTTTATGTAATCTCAATAGTGTTTAAGTTTATTGTAATGTAACATTGATGTGCTCTTTTTCTTTCCTCTTTTATCAATTCGTGTATTGAGACCGATCATTTATTGTAAATTACTGAACACCTTGTTGATCATTAACATCTGAACTGTTTCATTGCTGTTTATAAACTTTCCTTTTTTAAAGGTTTATAGAAAATTAAATATACATTGCATTTAACTTGAAACATAAAAAAAAGGAAAAAACAAATATATTCTTTTTGCCTGCAAAATGTAAAACTTCCCTTTATCGCATATTGGTCCTTTGTTGTATGAATATAATTGATTAGTCAGTTTACAAAGTCCATGGCTCGTGCAGCGAGTTTATTAAACGTTGTTGCGGGCTCACGTAAAATGTAGAATCATTGCATCACTTCGTATTGTTGTATTCCAAAATGCGTCGCAAGTAAACGTCCATATGATATAGGTATTTCGTTTTGGGGTTACGTTTTTGTGCCATAAATATATATAACTATCTTATGTAAATGTATGTAGTGAATACTAGTTTTAGGTGTAGATTGAATGTTGATAAATTAAATATAATACAATACACAGAGAATAATTTTAATATCGTTTGCAGCATGGGCCAACAATATTTGTGCATAATTATATACCTACTAGCTTTCCCTCGCGGCTCCGCTCGCGTTGAAATCCTTAAATAAATGTGTTTCTTTTACCTTTCAACCCTTTACAACACTCTTTTCCAATTAAAAAGTAGCCCTTTGTCCTTTCTCAGGCTCTAGACTATCTGTCTACCAAATTTCATTAAATCGGTTCAGTAGTTTTGGCGTGAAAGCGAGACAGACAGACAGACAGAGTTACTCTCCCATTTATAATATTAGTATGCATTAATTGTATGCATATTAAATACTTCGAAGAAAACAATTGTCCTTTACCAGTTAAATTATTGCTTAGTCATCATAATATCTTCGGAATAAGGAAAAAAAAATCAAGGAAAAAGTGTACATGCAGTGGAAACGAAACTGCATCGACTTTTCTAGACATTTGTCAGATATAATGAGATAACTAAATGTTTGAATCGAGATAAATAAATCATCTTAGTCTGAGATAAAAAATTCAAATTAATAAGTACTCATCCATAGTTCTAATTTATACAGAAGTGTAGAGAAACGATTTTACTATATCCGTTTTTCAATCCTATTACGATATGACCACTTTCAAAGTGAGGGTGATTAATTAGGTTTCTACTGGGGTAGATCGTTTACTACCTGAGCCTACAACATCACGTAGCATCCGAAAGAACAGTAGTCAAGTAGTACTAATCTCATATAATCAAAATATAATAATATAATGTTAGCGCAAATGCTATGATTCTGTAACTACCAATTCCTATTAATTATGCTACACAAACGTAATACTCATGGTTTATTTTAAGTATTATTTCAATGTCAATAGCCTTCAATATATGCGACAAAAACCTTGATGCTTACGGACGGGAAATGGCTTCATAAAAGAATAAAGTCAACACTGATTGCGTTGCCATTGAGTCCCTTTGAGTGTATTCTTGCTTCAATAGTTATTCTTTCGCTGAAATTGGACGGTATCTTTAACACTAGATCAGACGATAGATTTGTGTCATAGCGGGAGAGCGACCTTGACTGGTATGCAGCTTGGTCGATCGGTATCCGCTTATCATCGCGTTTTAAGCTCTAATGCTTTCCCTCCTAAACTGTCAGTATTTCGAAAGTCGTGACTGCTCTACGGAGCATTTCTTTTTCATGTTTTCGTCCGAGTTTAATAGAATAGAATTAATTATACATACTTCACATAAGGTCACAGAGTATCTTTAGTGCTAATAAGGGATTTTATAATTACTTATTTAGTTGCATCTGGAGATTACGTTGAGGTATATGAAAATGTCCGCTTTTTTCTTTAATACACTTAATGTAATTATAACTTAGGTAAGAAATGAATAATAGTTCAATTTGAAACGAAAAGTTTTCATATTAAGTTTTTGTGTTGTTTTTTTACATTACCGTAAAACACTTTAAAATTCAAACGAATAAATACTTTCAATTGAACTTGATTGGTTTCCTTGTTAATGCAGGTGTGACGTCAAGTTCATAAAAAAGACGTATCGGCTTAGTGGTGTTTCACATGTAAGCTAAAGTACTAAACCATGTTACATTGCTGGCGAGATTAACTTCATGCGCGTTTAAAATCGAGATGACAGCTATTTTTGCTTCAACTGCTTTTAAATGCTCATATTTCTCATCTTAAAATTCGAGCCAACGAATAATGTTTAATAAAAATAACACGCATTTTATGTTTTTTGAATATAAAAAAAAGAGTCAACATTCTTCGCAAAAATGTCTAAAATTATCTCTCGGCATCCAACTCAACTCATATTGTGGATACAGTATGTGTGAGAGAAAAACCAGCGCTAACGGCACAGCCACTTGAATTATTATTACTATCCACTATTGCGTGATAGAGAGAAACCTTGTTATTAAACTGTCGACCTGTCTTTTATATGTTCTCCTAGTGTACGCTTCAGTTAAGAACAAAGAAATCTGAGATACGTAGATATGTACAGATAATTGTTTTGCTACATTGGCTTTTGATAATATCATCTTAATCATATATCTGTATGTCTCTACTCATAGCTTGGACTTGAAATATAATATTTGTATTGATATGTAACTTAACCCTGTAGTGTATATTTCACAAATAAACGAGTAAAGAGACTTAAGTGAGAGAGTTATTGGTTGCCATGTTAACACCATGGTGTCGCGCATCGAAAAATTATTCTCGTCATATTTTCCAAACGCGCCAAAATAAATATTATAACTTTCAAAAAATATATGTTTATTTTTTATTTTTAAGCACAACTTCTTCATTTCTTTGACCGTGGAGATATATCTTGTAAGGCAATAATGCACAGTCACAACATAACATTGGTCCGCGTCTATCAATCCACGTTATGGTCTCCTCGTAGGTAACGAATCAGCGAAGGTTATTATACCCCGGTTGGCCTTCGTCCATTCCATGTAACACTGTGCGATGACTTCTGTACTCGTGAACTAAGAAATCGATAGAAATTACGACGCTCCTTCACTCAATCTAAATCGATTTGATTTCCGTATAGTTTAAGACACCGCTATATACTCGTAAGAGTCTATTGTTATTTCTCAAAGATGTTGTTGTCGGAACGCTAATCCATAATTATTCGTCAATAAAAGTCGTGTAATGATTAAGCCTTTTTAAAGCTTATGTCTGCCGATATTGACGAAAAATAGTCAAGTAGAATAAAATTAATGTATGCATTAAAAATAATTTCGTTAAAAATTCTTATGAATAATTTATGATAATACCATCATTTTACAATTAGTATAGTAGTATATTTTACAAAATAAGATAGGTACTTTTCATTGATAAATACTTATTTACAAATTATTATATTGCCATTTTACTGTTTACGGTACTGTGCGAGAACTTCGCACGGGTCCACTAGTATTTTATATATCTGAATGAGTCACGTGTCTGAATTCTAGAGTTTTATAACTTAAAAAAGTAAAAGTAGTCCACGAATTGCACTGATACATGCGGCTGTCTAAAAGGGGGACTGTCTCACTGTTCAGGTGGACAGCGGCGGCGGTGGCTCGGCCGAAGTGATGGTGTACTCTCTCGGCTGGGGCATGGGCGAGCCAGAGCGGCGTGCCGTGGACCGTAAGCGAGCCCAGCCGCCCTCTGTCACCCTTTCACCAGACGAAGGGCATGAGGTCGACGTGTTGCCATTGCACAATCAGGTGAGTTTCTTTTTTATGTGGGAAAACGGCATGCGAGCTGGCGGTTGAACTGATGTTAAGCGATAAACGCCGACAATTGACGTTTGCAACGCCTGTAGATGCGTTGCCACCTTGTAATAAATTGAAAACTAGCGAATGCTAGACTACCATCTCGCCTTGCTGGTTAGTTTCCTTCCATGACGGCTCCGCATCGAAGGGAACACTTGGAGATCCGTGACCGCGCTCTCATCAGGCGGACACCAGAACAATGGCCTTTGTGCGGGCTCTGTAGTAAACAATATCACTCGCCACGTGTCCCGAGTGCTGTCTAAATGCGCAATAAAGTCTCAACGCCCTTTATCTAGTATATAGTGTGTCGTGTAAGTGGAATATTCGATGTATGCGTATTGTTCATAATTTTTTATCGTGGTAGTGCCACGCAACAGTCTTCGTAAGTCGTCCGGGTAAGTACCGCGACCTCACATACATCGACCGGCGTTTCGTCTGGTGAGTTTGATAGCCGGGGCCCACTTTATTATATAGTGGCAACGCAATCTGCAACCCTACGGATGTTGCAAATGTCAATGGGCGGCGGCTATCGCTCAGCATCGGGTGAACCGCCAGCTAGCTTGCCACCTTCTCACAATTTTTTGGAGCAAACATAAATACACGGAGTCGACATCGATGGCACGCGAAGTATCTTAAAGGCGCCAAGGCTGCGGCCGTTTCGGTTGCGCCTTCGAGGTAAACCGGTCGTGTTGCGTTGAGCCCGAAATTTCTCGTTTTATACCTCATTCGGCTTACAAATATACCTTAAATGATAACAATAGCAACGCTGAGTGTACTCTCGTTTCGAGTGATGTTAATTGTGTTTGTAGACATTTACCTTTTTTCGCTTATTACGTATGTATAGTCAGTCATGTCAGGGCATAGTGGGAGCATAGCTATAAAATTGACGTGTGATTTTGATTATGGTCGTATCTGTGAATTGTATCGATAATAATACAGGTGTTTGATTATTTATCTAAAACAGGAATACTGGAATATCTAGTGTATTTTACAAATTGTCTGGAAAAAACTACGTTAGTTTTACCTTGGCTCTGTAATGTTTCATTTTTATATCGCCTCCATGGTCACATGGAGACGTAAATTTAATTTTATAAATTCGTCTGATTCGTTTTAGTTTCGCGACCGCGTCATTCCAGATATACACAAATTGGCGGATTTTTAGCATTCTAGGCCAGACTAAGCATCTGGAATAACAAGAGATAAATTTAAGCATGAATATATTTATAAATATCTTCATGAACATCGCAGGTGACCTTGATTATTTAAAATGACGCTTGTTTATTCATCATAAACGTGAATTTCTATTTCTATGATAATTATTTCTTCCTATTTACTTGATAGACTCGTTTTAATGCGTACGTAAGCTTTAAGATGTATATATTAACCGTTGCATTGAGGTAACGGGGAAATGAAGCTCACTGATTCAATTTCTATGTAAATGCATCTAATTTAATGCTTGTGTGAGATAATTCTTTGTAGCGGGCCCAGAGGTCCGTGAAGTGATGGAGTCCGTTAATTACTTCATAACCGTTTCGCGATTTCATTATTTTTGCATTATTTTCTTTGTATTGTATATTGTCTTGTAAGAGAGCACAATAAACAACCTATCTTCCCATAGATTAAGTTGGTGGAGAAGGGCGTTTCAACATTCAAAAAGAATTTCCATGGTTCCATTTTTGAAATGCGATTACAATTTGACAAGGCCAGAACAACGCTGGATGTGGTCGCTCAAAAACTAGGGAACCGTTTCATTTACACACAATACGCCCGTGCCATTAATTTATCACCGTAAAAAGGGCTGTCGCTTCCCGTCGGGCGAACGCAGCGGTGGAGGCTCGTAATTGGCGCAGAGCGGGCACTATACGTGGGCCAGAGGCCAGGTCGAAGCACCCGGTGTCGTTTTTTTTTAAACACGGGCGCGGGCGGCAACGATCGCTAGGCCCCGAGTGCACTGCACTGCGCTCGCAACGTGTATGCTCTAAGCAGTCGCTCGCTCGGATTTAATCTGTCAACGGCTCTCACAATATAATACGAGGTTTAGGCTAGGCGCCCTCAGCCCGGTGGATCATTAAATGCCAACCAAAGGCACTGAACAATAAAAAGGAATCGATAATGTACAGGTATATTAATTCGTTAAGCCAATACTTTGAATGCCGTTTTAAGAACAAGGGGTGTCATAATTTGACCTAGTTAAAGTGTATATGGAGGAGTGCAGGTAACTCAAATTTTATACACTATGTGTTATAAATTCATAAAATAAATTGCTCCTTGTTTATGTTCATACTGTCCATGTCAACCGTCTAAATGCTTGCTGTTAAACAGTTGCACAGAGTAAACATTGTCGTAGAAGAATTTTAAAATGTCAGAATGCCCGAATGAGTCCGGGGAATATCGATTATTTTTCCACAGCGCCCTAATGAAATCGTTCGTAGCGTTTGTTATATTTATATCGATGCTCATTGTTTTTATATTATCATTACCGTATAAATTAATTATGTTGTTTATAATTGACTTTATATTTATAAATATACTTTGGTTGTTGATTTGATAATGACAGGAGGTAAATGGAGAGAGGTTAATAGTTAGGTAAGTTAGTTTGCTACATCATCCACATTCTGACCTACCCTTATAGTTTGAATTTATGCTCAAGTCTGGTTCTCGCATTGGAAAGTAGCACCCATCTCGTTCGTTCGCGTGAAATGAGAAAAGGACGAGAGGAATCACGTATACATTATTCGCACGGTTCCGTTTCGTACGAGTGCAACCATTGTGTCCGCTCGGGTACCTGTCGTATAGCTTTTTTTTCTTAAAGAGTTCCCTTGCAAAATGTTCCGAACAATGCCCCGCGATAACGATCGCATAAACGTTTTGTTTTAACCGGTTTTAGGTTTCACAGAACCCCATCCGCCTGATCGGTCTCTGCGTGAAGATACTTTGCTATTGACCTTGCTTCGTATATTGTACTTTGGCTCGGTATTTCCGTTTAAAAATAATATCCTAGTCGGTAATGAAGATAGCTCCACTAAGGCATCTGGAATAACAAGCGATAAATTTAAGCATGAATATCTTCATAAATATCTTCATGAACGTTGCAGGTGACCTTCATTATTAAAAATGGCACTTAGTTTATGGATCATAAACAAACGTGAAATTATCTTAATATAATAATTATTTCCGCATATTTACTTGATAGACTAGTTTTTAAATATAAAATATTTGGAAATGAAGATAGCTCTACTATTAGAACTTTTGTTCTATATATTAATTGGATATTCGAGATCGACGCCTCACGTCACTTATCATTGGCAAAAAGATGATCATGATCATGATGATGAAATTTGTAAATTATGACTAGGTATTTATTCATGATCTTCTTTGGTGGAGTGTTAAATATAAAAAATTTAATTCATCAATTTTATTGATGTAAGATTTTTAATTTATAATTTAATGCTATTATAGCTTCGCTTAGAACTAAGCAAGACACGAGAGAGACATTAAATCATTTTACAATTTGGTTCATGCCAAGGTGAGGCCTCGGTCTAGATACCTAGTTTGAACCTAGCAGATTAACACTCATCTGATTTTGATCTGTTAACACAGAAAAAGTAATTACCCTGAACTTTTTCCTTTATAACTTCGATTCTTTAAAGAAAATGCAGTTGACATACACTATGACAATATAGTTATAGAGAGAAAAGGTAAAGTAAATTTTTTAGTTCAGTTCATGTGTGACTTCACCCCGTGCGTGACGTTAGTCCTTGTTTGTTTGTTTCGTTGAAACAATATCTCGCAACCCGAAAAATGCATTATTGGATAAAATAAAAAAAATTACCGTTTCAGCTACAGCTATCGGTCGCATATCCTTATCGGATATCGTCTCCGATAACGACACAATACGCTGAAAACATTATTCTATTATTCTATTGTCAACATACACCCGTGACATTGTTTGTCGATGAGTAGTCATTTAGAACTTGCTCGCTTGATATGACAATAACCCACGAACCGTTCCACATTATGTATTTGCACATAAATAAAACTATTTCTCCGTTGTCAGAAACGTCTCAGCGCCCGATATGTGGTTACTGTGTCACTCAGTTTAATGTTATTTAAATATGGGTACACGTGTCTACAATTAGGGTTGCCCACTGCGGAAATAAAGAAAACATATTAGGTTAAGCAGTGGCCCATTTTAATTGGCTTAATTAGTACGTAAGGCGGAATTCCTAACGTTAGTATTAGCTTTGTTACGTAACACATTAGTAACGATGGACGTCAATTTGTCGTCATTTTTTAACGATTTTTTTTTAATTTGTATTTTACGAGGGTAACGATTATATTGATTTTTAGCTTTATTTGTGAATTTTTTAGAGATGATACCGAATTCTAGGCCGTATTTGTCTTTATTATTTAAAAGTAAAATGTAATTGTTGTTGATAATGATAAGCCAGATATCTTTAAACGCACGAAATCTTACTTCGTTTATAATGAGACTTTTTAGTGTATTTATTATTGCACTATCAGTACATAGTACTTATAAAACAAAGTCGTCTCGCTGTCTGTCTGGGACATATGTATATCTGGGATGTATGTATGCTTAGATCTTTAAAAACTACGCAATGGATCTCTCTTGATGCGGTTTTTTTTTACTAGATAGAGTGATTAAAGAAGAATGTTTATATGTATAATACATTGCACCCGTGCGAAGCCGGGGCGGGTCGCTAGTTTATGAACAATACTTTACGAACAGCCTATAGAAATAAAATTCTATTGCTATAGATAAAGACGTAAATGATCTTTGGTTAAATATTGTGTTCTAGGTGGGCGGCCACACTAGGCTGCTGGTGCTGAACGACAGTACGGTAATCAAGCCCCTGAACATCCGCGAACTGCATTTCTACCAGAACATTCCCGAGGACATCCAGAACTTCGTACCTAGATACAAAGGTGAGCCCCCAAAGCCTACGTACTATCCCGTAGCAACTAAGCGATGTGCTCTGTAAGCTTTTATGAATTCGCTGAATGCATATTCCATTTACATTCATAGCATTGTATCATTCTGTTCATTTGTGTGTCTATCGATAATATGTTATCATTTTTTTTTCTCTTAGCGTTTTTTTTACCGTGTTCGAATTGTATTGTTTGATGTAATTGCATTCAGGGCAGTAAGGAGGTTCACCTTATCACATCACACTCGCGAATAACAAACGTCGTTTGCTTTATCGATCGTTCGACACCGAGACTTCCTTATCCGATTTGCGTCATACCATAATTGATAACTAAATGTCGTTCCAGTTACAAAATTCCCACCTGATCTAATCGGCTTCGGTGCGAAAAACAGCGTGCGTAATATATACGAATACAATATTAACGAATACTCTCCTTATTGCTCTACTGATCGTAAACATCAAATTTTGTATGATAGAGACGCATGAGAGTGAATCCAAAACGCCCTGCCGACCACATTGATGTAACTTACTATTTCTGACTACTTAGACTGTCGACTTTTATTCCGCATAAACATTCCGTAGTTTTCGTTGTTAAACTTTGTTCGCTTTAACTCTCCAATCGCTATTAAATACTTTCGTTTTCTCTTTTTTTTTCTTTAGTTCGAATGTCATGATTGTTATTGGTGTTCCATAAGTGAGAAGTATATTATCATTCGCCTGACCTTTTATTGCCGTTTAAAAATGTCAATGTTTTAAAGACACGTAGGCGTGGGAATGCTGTGAAAACAAACACGAATCTCATGTAAATATGTAACAAGGTTGGCATACGTACGCGATATTCTAACCAGTCCTTTCTGGTTGTAGAGCGGAGCGTTAATAAATTAAAACGTGCCAATTAAACGGATTACGCTTAGTGTTAATGCAGGTTTGTTCGTTTTTTAAAATAATTATTTTGTATTAGTTTAAATTATTATTTTGAAATGTCCCATCGCGAACACAGCATAGATTCGAACGGACACGATTTGCTCGTCGAGTGTTTGAGTGAAAGAAGACTTTTACCATTAGCATTTGAATATTTAATACTTCCGACCGTCTTGCAAAACGGCAAGCATATAAATGTTCGAGAAGCGAAACGTATTGTGAAACTGGTAAAAGTTCGGTAGTATAGGATACGAAACGCCACTGAATCGTTCGCGAGGCGTGACCGCTGTTAAGTTAGGCGGCGGGCAGTGTGAGCGCGCGAGCGGAAGCGGGAGCGGGTGCGGGCCTGGGGTGAGGAACACAATATTAGTTTCCTTGTTGTCGCAAGGGCTGCGGCGCTGCGGCGGGCGGAGCGACGCCGGCGGCACTCCACACAACCGCCCCTAATAGCGCCCTAGCGGTAATTTTACATTATGGGTTTGTAAACCTTTACTTAAACCTACACCCACACGCACACACCCCACTACATGTACACACGACACGGGACACATTCATTCACTACACGACAAAAGAACGCACAGGACACATACATACGCTCGCGTATAACTCACACATACACACGCTTGCGCATAATTCACACATAAACACCTAAAGACTCACACAGCTACACGACTCACACGCATTACAAAAGATATACAAACCCTTTTTAAAATTACGTTAACCGTTATATATATCCACATTCCATTTAAAATAGCTAGCAATTTGCATCAATATGAAAGTTTCTTTAACGGGCACGTAGGAGATTCTAGCGCTCAGCTAACGCTCATGTCGAGAACGTGCACTGGCACTATCAGACCTCCGGGCGAAACGCCCGCCTAGGCATTATTTGAGTCGCCTAGATCTCCTATCGTGCCGAAAGCCAATAGATGATCCATACATATACTTTTTCTTCTAACATACCTTTATAAGCAAAGGCAAAACAACACACGAGCTAGTGCTTTGTGTTCGGCCATCGGTGTGCGCGTGCTGACGAGTTGGCCGTTTGTTGCAGGCGTGATGCAGGCCTCTAACACTGGCGGGCAGAAATTGGACAAGCGCTACTCGCCATGTTTCCGCGACGAGAACGGCCGCAAGCAGTCGCTGGGCGGCAAGCGCAAGCGAGACGACGTGTTCAAGTGCGTATCCGCGTGCTCTACGACCGCGGTCGCCCACCCCCGACACTTGTCATGTGTCCTTTATCATATTTCAGGGCGAGAGGCGGCGCCATTAATTCATACGATCGTACTTACTATACCCCACTAACTGCAAATGACCAACAGCCAACCGACCGGCTATCCCGGCCGGCGCGCCCGTGCCCATGGTGCCCCGTGGAGCCGTGGTAATGATGCACCATTTGATTCTAATCTAAACGTCGGCGTCATTGTTCCATTATCGTTTTTCCTTTACGTTTCCGCTCCGCGCTAGCGCCTTTCAATGTGTACGCACCGCGCGCCAATCAGCCGGCACGTGTCCACTTTTTTACAGTGCGTGCTTTTCCGTTTTCAGATTCAAAGTGCACCGGAACGGCAATGCGAGCGAGGTGCTCAAGAGCATTGCGCACATGGACAACTCTAATAAGCAATGTAAGTTGAACGACAGCCATGTGTCGCCATTCATTCGTCATTCATCATTCGATTCGACTTCGATTTCGCTCTCGATTTCGCGGTCTAATTCATTGTCATTCATTCGGCGTCCAGTTAAGTGTTTAAAGTCGGGAGAAATTTCATGTGTCGCCGGTTGCTCTAGGCTTTAAAGTAGACATCGAGGTGGATATTTCAAATGATATCATATTGGCAATTTAGCTCCTATATTTATACAAATATATTTCTAGACCTTACAGATGTATAAATACACACAATACCATATTTTCTCTCTTAGTATTTTTAACAATATTGAGAATATTAATCGCTTTTTATAAACACACTGGGAATATTAGGTAAGAATCGCTTCCAAATATTAAAGGAAACACGCCCTCGTAACCTAATTTATGGAGGTATTTCTTTACTTTGCTTTCTCTTTATACCTTCTTCTTAAACGTCATTAAAGCGTTATGGTTTCATATTTTCTATCAAGCAATAATTCCGATAAGTTAAAACTTTTTTATTTAATTTTTTTAAGAGTTTGTATTATATCCGTATATTTCTTTTCTTTTTTTTGAAAAACATTGCCCTTACTTTAGGATAACATTATCCTGTGTTGTAGGGACGTTTTACAAACATAAATTTCACGCGGACAAACACCCAGATGCGAAACAACTACCTGTGGGTCACACAAATAGTTGTCCCGTGTGGGAATCGAACCCACGACCCCTGACGCCGAAGCCCAATACCTTGGCAACTGTGCCACGGAATCATCATTATGTGACAATAATCTAATAATGTTTCACATTAACCGACAAGCTGCTAGTGTAATAAAGACATTTTTAATGCATAAAAAAACGGGCAACTCAAAGGCGAAACGCTTACCGTTTAAACGGTCCGAACGGCCGTCGCGACTTGCCACTTGGGCGTTTGCGTTTACGTTTGAGTTTAAGTTTGCTTGCTCCGTTGGTGTCAGACTTCCTGATGATGGTGAACATGACGTCGTCTGGGCGTTTGCGTTTACGTTTGGTCGTCGTACCGGCGGCCGTGCGTGCTCGACCTGAAGATGGGCACGAGGCAGCACGGCGACGACGCCACAGCCGAGAAGCGCACCAAGCAGATAGCTAAGTGCGCGGCCAGCACGTCCGCCACGCTCGGGGTCAGGCTGTGCGGCATGCAGGTGAGCGAGCAATAAATGTTTGTCTAGCAATATAGATGACGCATGTCCATACTGCGCGTCGTTTAAATATTGTTCCGCTTAACATTATTTGACATATATATAGTGTATGTGACAGAGGACATGGTCTATAATATATAAACGTCAATAGCAAGCTACTAGTTTATCGGCAGAAAGCAAACATCAGATTATATTATGTCACTATATCGCAATTAACCAATTATCGCGACGATAATTTTTTTTTTATTTTGATGACTTTATCATTACTAATTGGAGACGTGTCCGCGCGATCGATATCTGCGGAAATTTTCGCGCCAAGCTAGAAACAAGCGACACAAACAATGTCGCCGAGAAGATCGAACGCGGAAAGACCTTCGCCCTGAAAAGCGGCACTCGGCCTACGGAAGGGCAGGCGGCACTTAACTCGACGAGCTCGGAGGCCGAACAGCCGTTCATAACTTGGGAACGTGCTCGATTTGAATACTCTGAGTAATTCGCGCACGTTTTTGACGCCTAGCGATGCAGGAAACGAACGAACGCGAACGGCTTTGTTTGGGGAAGTGTTTAAAGGCGGTTTCGTGGATTTCCTGCAGCGGAAGGTTGGACCGCGCGAGTTGCGGGTCGACGCGCCTTTCGGGGTCTGGTTAAATCAAGGTCCTATTTGGTTTACAAAGGCATGACAACACGTTTTTGTTTACAATTAGCGACAGCTAACTTTTCTATGGGTCGTTTAACAGAGCGAGTATCACTGAACATTATATCTGATACCATATTACGTAGAACCTGAATGTGCGTGTCATATAAATCCCTTCCAAAGGTATATATATTTTTTTTGTTCTTCAAGGAGTGAAATCCCTTGTAATTGATTAATTTTACTTTTCTTTCAATCTATTCAATAGAATAATATCTACAGTTAATTTATAAATAGGTCTATAGCTCTTTGCTTAAGTAAGGCAGTCGGGGTAATGACTATATACATTACAAAGCTCTAGTCGTTCATTAAAGTAATCCCAGCAAAGACATTACCAAGTGATTCTTATTCTTCTTCGTACAGGATGATAATAAATATACGCATTATCGAGATTGTAAATTAGAAATCTCATGACCCTTATTACTTATTTTTATGATTCATCAAAACCATATATACAGCGTGTCGTTACCATCGCGACAATAAATGAACACACATATAGGGGATAACTTTTTAAAGTTGTATTAAACATTTAAATTCTTTAAACATCAATATTTACAGAGTTATTAAATTTTCCAAAACAAAGAATTTTAGAACACCCTTACCTATAAAAGCGTAACGTAAAGTTCATTTGTAAAGGTCACAAAGCATATGAATGGGTTGAATGAAGTTGAAAGAGACAAAACCTACTGTTAGAAGGAGAGGCTTGTAATACGACGCTGTGGCGCGAGTTGTATAAGGATGTTACAAATTTTATTTCTTTTTTACTTAACTAGTTTGTTTGAAAAATATTTTTTTTTAATTATGGATTTAGTTTAACGTTAATATTTTTTTATGATTATTGGCAAGTAGCGTTAGTCGTGTGTTCATTTATTGTCGCGATGGTAACGACACGCTGTATACAGTTTGAACTTTCTCGCAGATTCAACCATTAATAAAAAAAATGTGAAACGAAATACAGTATAGATTTATTAAAGATATTCAATGTCCGCGCCTGTAGTCTTTGTCGGAAAATGCTGCCGTTATTAATGATAAGTTAAGTTCTATTTAACGCTTGCAGGGTTTATTATGTTAGAAATGAGGTACCTGACGTGTGGGCGCGTGCTCTCTGTCAGGCCGAATTGTGTTTGCACTTGTCCACTTAAGAAAACTTATTTTCTGTAATCCACAAAAATCATAGTTATAAAGAAATAAGATAATAGACTAATAAAGAAATGTTTTTTCATTTCACGTTCCTACGATCTATACTTTTGTAGTCATGTTCTTTAAGTAATCATAAATTTACGGGCTCTGGTGAAGTTACTATTTTGCTTAGGGACACAACACATGAGTTTCGTCACGTCGATATATTTCGCAATTGTGCCTTGTCGGAGAATGCGCTTCGTTTAACGATAAATCGATACACGTTTGACGTTTTGCATTTGAGAAAGTACGTTGGCCTAAAGGTCCTAGATACCAGGCCATTAAAAAAAAAGAAAAGAAAAAAGAACGTAGGTATTTTGCAACAGCAGCGCTCCGTCCATAAGAGCGCGTTTGACGTTTTGCATTTGAGAACGTAGGTTGGCCTAATGGTCTTAGATACGGGGCCGTAAAAAAAAAAAGAAAAAGAAGCGAACGCAGGTGTTTTGCGACAGCAGCGCTCCGTCCAGAAGAGCGCGTTTGAGTTAGAAAATGTCGTTTGACGTTTTGAATTTGGGAACGGCAGGTGTGGATGGCGGGAACGGGCGCGTGCGTGCGCCGCGACAAGTACTGGGGCCGGGCGCTGAGCGAGGCGGGGCTGAGGGACGCGCTGCGCGACTTCTTCGCGGCCGGCGGAGGGCTGCGGGCGCGCGTGGTGCGGCGCGTGCTGCGCGATCTGGACGCGCTGCGGCGGGCGGTCGCCAAGCAGACCAGCTACCGCTTCTACTCGTGGTCAGTGCGCCGAACAATTTCTATTTCTGTCTCGCTCTAATCCCACGGTCGATCTGTTTCCGCTCCACTCGTAGTTAGTGTTTAACGTTTGCACTTTGTTGATTCCTTATGTTTATAGTTGTTTTTTCAAAATCACTTTCCCTAACAAAAATAGACTACCAACATTCGGCATTTTCAATGTTTGAAGATAACATAAGTGGTAAATGTTGTTTAGCTTCCCGCACGGAAACATGTACCGGAAACAAAGTTCATACCAAAATTCTGTATGAACTTTGTACATAACTTCTTATTTACATGTAAAAATAATGGCTTAGTGGACCATGTCAACTATCAGTTTTTTTATTACAAAATTTAACGGTGTCCATTAAACGCTTACAAAACCTTACAACTGTTTTGAATGACGTCATCATCATCTAACCGTCTCCACTTCCACGCCCCCAGTTCGCTGCTGATCGTGTACGAGGGCGACGTCTCGAGCGGCGGCGTGCTGTGCGACGAGAGCGCCGCCAGCGAGTACGACGCGGACGCGTCGAGCAGCTCGGCCGAGCTGGCGCCGTCGCCGGGCCACTTCGACATGTCCACGCTCACGGACGGGATGCCGTCGCCGCGCGAGCCCTTCACCCACTCCGAGGAGACGATGGGCGGCTACGAGGAGGGCGAGGTGTCGCACTCGCTCCGCCCGCAGCCGCCCAGCCCCGACTCGGCGGACAGCTGGATGGCGTACTCCACCAGCAGCGAGTCGTGGCGCGGCGACAGCGAGCCGGTCTCGGACGAGGACGCGACCAAGCGCGCCCGCACGAAGCCCGACTGGTGCCCGCCGCCGAGCGAGCGCGTCGACATACGAATGATCGACTTCGCGCACACGGCGTTCGCCGGCGCGGCGGCCGAGTCGCCGCTCGCCACCGCCACCCCCCACCACGGGCCCGACTGCGGCTTCCTCACGGGCGTCGACAGCCTGAAGCGGCTGCTCACCGAGATCTTGCTGCCGCCGCCGTACAGTTAATGGCGCGCACCGACCCACTAGCCAATGAGGGACACGCCCGCCCCGGGCCAGCGCATCGAATCCGCCGCCCGGCCGGCCCGCGTTGTGGGAACATTGCGAGGTCGCCGCGACTATGTGTTTACATAAAAAGGACTCCAGGGTATCTCCGTGCACCACTCGCGCTTGACAGTGACGGTCGTTTCGTTTTACCTTTTATGTAACTACCTAGTGGCTGTCGCACTTAGTGAATGTTGGCGGTACAAACTATCGTTAATTTTGAATTTGAAACAAAATTATTATACTTTTAATGTGGGACCCAGTAGGTATTTTTAAAGCATGTATTTTTAAGTATTATTTTAAGTTATTCCAGATTGACATGCTAATTGTATAATATTTCTCGTTTGGTTAATTTCATCACGCTCTTCTCTAGAGAAATTCATCATAAACTTAAATTAATAATAAAGAAGTAGACATTCCCTGACACCTATAGACACTGTAGTATATGTTAATCTTATTTCTTCATGCAAAACCACATTAATCTGAAAGTATTAATTATATAATGTTTTGCATTTAAGATTTCTTTTTAAGTACATCTCACTACATATGTCGCTTCATATGTCTGCAAATTTATTCCGTAACCACTGAATTTGTTAGATGAGCCCAGTCAATGAAGCCAAAGTAATGTTAGTGTTTAGATTGGATTTTCTATGATAAATACTTGTTTTGAATAATAAATAGAATATGATTTTAATGCAGTCTTGACATCTCATTGTATGTGAACCATTAAATATGTATATAGTATAGCTCTATGAGTGTCCACCATATCGCAATGTGTGTTGTTTAATTGGCTTTGTGAGAATGAATTTTATTTTATGTAAAATTTGGCTAACAGTATTATAAACATTTTATTAGGTAGATAAAGGTGAGGCAAAAAGTTGTAAATATAAAACAGAAATGTTCTAAATGCAAACAAATATTTGTGCTCTCAGTATCAAAACTGTCATAAAAAAAAGGATAAATTTACGCCTCTAAAATCAGAATTTGTTTGCAGATGTAATAATATGTAATCACTGATGTTAGCCAACATTCCTTTGTGCTGCATTCGTCGATGTCTGTTATTTTATTTTTAAAAATGGGATTTAAATTATGAAAAGTACCTGGTTTGATTAGAATGCTAGGTTGTTCTGCAAATTATCATTTACGTTTGTTATTTTGAATAACTGTATGACACTATTTTGTTAAATAAATTTTAGGTATTGATAAATTGTTTCATTACAAAAATATGCCTTACATTTATTAACATTATCCAACTTCACATAAATATTCTTTTAGCTAGTTTGTCACTACACAAACTCATACATCTTTCTAACAGGGCATGATTTACACATGATTACATTGATTTACATTATTTACGCACATGTCGCCGACATAACAGAACGTGACCATGGAACAACCAAATTATAAATACACATCAGAAGTCAATGTTGTTTAATAATAATCATCGTATTTGTATATATCATTGTTCTAAGTATTTTCAACATATCCTTTCAGTCGTAAAACTATAATCTTGGTGTGACCGCTGGTCTGATGGATCCTATAAAGTTCATAATACTAGCATCATCATAATAATCTGTATATTTCTGTTTAGCCAATGTGGTGGTATGAAGATAAAAGAAAAAAATATGTAACATTTTTGCAATAAAATATAAATACATGGCGTTGAAATTTCGAGCGGCGTTAATTTTTTCGGTCATTTGGAAAGAAAAGCCAAACAGGCTTCTAAAAAAACGTTCTACTTTGGTCCACAATCGACCAAAGTAGAACGAGACAGTATTTTCTGCCGGCCCATCGCTTACAACTCTGCGCAGATTCGGTCGGACATGGAATACTGTTTAAATCTGGGTTGGGGCACCATCTATTTGACAGAATTCAACGAAAAGCTGTTGGAATCACGCACCAGTCTCGGCTGTTGCAGGAATGGGCAGGCCCGTCCGAGTAAGTACCACGACCTCACAGAAGACCAGCGTAAAGTGAAGGTATGACAAATACTTTCGCGTCTCGACTGGTGAGTGAGGTAACCGGAGCCCAATTTTCAAAAGGTTGTCAACGCATCTGTAACCCTCGGGTGTAGCAGATGTCCATGGGCGGCGGTATTCACTTAACATCAGGTGACCCGTCTGCTCGTTTGGCAACTATTCGCGTAAAAAAAAAAATGGTGGCTCTAATTGGGACTAACTAAGATCGAATAATTTTTCGGAAAAAATTAAGCAATTAACATTTTATATAAAAAAGATGTTATAACCGTAAATATGGAACATTTGTCTGTGATGTAATAGGCTGGATACAGTTAACGGACTTGGTAACGCACGAAATTGTTTCTAGTTTCGATTCCGTTCGGAAGTAAGCCTTTCAAATAGAGTTCAAAATTAAAAACAAATTGGAATCAAATTTGGGGAGCTTAAGACGGCAGGTGCTTTACGATCGTCTGGACCATATGGCTTCGAGAGAGATGTACTTTCTCTTTGCATTTTCTATGGCATATATTAAGGGAATTGCTGGCGACTCGGCTATTGGTTTCGGCGTCGGCGGTCGTAGGTTTGATTACCATACGGAGGCGCACTAAAAGTTTCCGGAATGAATAAGAAAAAAATACTATTAAAGGTCAAATATGAATTTATTGTTTCTCAAAATATTCTCCCTTTGCGTAAATGCAATTGCATTTTATACGATTAAACCAATTTTGAACACATTTGTGCCATTCCTCCGTGGTGACCTCATAAACGTGTGTTTCGTACTCTTCGACAGCCACTTCTGGTGATCAAAATCGTTGGCGGTGAATTGATTCTTAATTTTTGGGAACAGAAACAAGTCAGGCCAGGTCGGAAATGTATGCAGGATGACTCATAAATTCTACGTTTTAACCAACTTCAAAAAAAGAAGGTTTTAACCAACTTCAAAAAAGAAGGTTTCTCAATTCGACCGTATAAATTTTTATTATTTTTTATGTTTTCTCGCGAATACCTTCGTCGTTTGTGAACCGATTTTGATGATTCTTTTTTTGTTGGAAAGGAGATATTCCAAGGGTGGTACCATGATAAGGAAACCCGGATCTGATGATGGCAGCCCAGAGAAATCGAGGGCAATCCTCAAATGTTATAGGTATTAACAATGTTTTTACTTAGTTTCCTGTTTGATATTTTTTTTTGTTAAAAATTATTCACCTTCAAAAATTCGTTTGTGTGTCTGGCCTGTCTGTGGGAACTAGCATAGTCGTGGTGCAAGATGATACAGCGTGTACGCTTATTTTTTAAGCAGTTCATCAATAACTTATGGCAAACAAATGGTCGTGTACCAGTCGCTATTCACGGTACGACGATTCTCTAAAACAACAGTAGCCACGTGTCAATAAATCCAAGTTTCGTCACCTGTTACTATCTCCCACACCAAATTTGATGCCCCTTTGTTGAATCTGGTAAGCATGGCATCGCACCAAGTGACGCGCTACTTTTTTGAGCCAAGGTTGCCCGAATCTTATGGTAGGTCACATGCCTGCCCATTTTGACCATACGGCGCACAGCATCGTTTATTTTTGTTGTTCAGTGCTGTACGGGCGACCATCGAGTGATTCGTCCCTGAGATTGACACGACTGCGTTCGAATTGCGAAAACTATCTATAAATAGCCGTCTGGCATGGTGCTTAAATCGTAGAAAGTCATACTACGAAAATATTACCAAGTTAAATCCATGTTAATGTAGAAATGAAAATTATAAAATGGCGCCACAATGTTAAAATCAATTGAAACAAACTGCATTCTACAGCCAAAGAGTTCCACCAAATGTATTTACTTTTTAAATATTGTTTATGTAAGTGGCCAATTCCGGAAACTTTTAGTGTGACCTATGTATTTGTGTAACCCAAAGCTAATTGTTCCGGATCTCGGTGTTTCTGACTTTCATCGGTGTGCCTAAAGCATCAGGGCGTGAATCCCGAAGACGTGGGTTCGATTCCCACAGCGGCGAAAAACTTTTCGTGCTTTTTTCTACAAATACTGTTTAATCTTAAGTCCAGAGATAAGCACTATAAACATTTAAATTTGTAGGATTTATATTTTTAGTCATGTTTGGATAATTAAGTTCACCAGTAATGAAAAGTATTTTTCTGTTTAATTGAATTTTTTTTAGTTTTATGTCTGATGTCCCAACAGATAGCAACATTAATATGTGGATGTAGGGTATTTGACCTTAGTTTGAAAAAGTACGTGAATTTTCCCGCCACTTAGCGCTGAACAAAGATTTCGTATATGCCCCTGTATTTGGAAATTTCGTTTTCATTTATAATAATGGCAGAATCAAACGTGCAAGCGTTAGAAAAAATATTTACAGAAGTTGATGAATCACAAATAAAGATAATATTTTCAAGTCAATGCATTAAAGGTATAAATTTTAAGACCATTTTTTTTAATAAGTAATTAATTTTTGTAGAGTGAACCTATAACACATTGAATAACTTTTGGACAATTTCACGGAAATTGAAATACTTTAAACTTTTTGCAAGTATTTTGTTTATATTATTATTATAGAACAATAGAATACAATCCAAATGAAATCTTTAAAGTCTTTCAAAGCTGGGCGCCACACCTTACACTTAAAGAATAAGTAGATTGTCATTCTTCTAGTATGCAACTCCTAGTATACAAAGAGCTATCCACAGTTTATCGTTTTTGTTTTTCTCCGAGTTGATACATGTGAGATTTTTACATCTTTAAAAAAATGGGGAATTTTAGATCTCATTAGTAAATGAAGGCAGGGCACATTTCTGCGTTTCGAACCCGTGAGTTTCGTAGCCAAAGGGTCATCAGTACTTATATTTATCTATAGTTACTTAAGTGGAAGTATCTTGTTACAGCACAAGCTTTTTTAGTTGATAAGTTAAAAAAGCAAACAAAACACCAAAAAGAAATTTGTAATTTTATCAGTAGTGGAAATATAAAACTTGATGCTGAAATTAAGCTTGCAGAGCAAGAACTAAAAAAGTAAGTACAAAACATTTAACTAAAGAATAATTTTTGAACCAGGTCTGTGTTTAGTGCAGCTTTATTTCTATGTACAATTATAGTATATCTCAAATGCAAAATTTTATTAAAAGCATCAAATAAATACATGCTTAATATCAGAAAAAATAATAATAAATGTAAAATGATAATTACATGAAAATTTATTTGCTAAACAAAATTATGACCCATACAGTAAGAATAATTTTCACAATCCTAGATAGTTTATCAGGCTTAATATAAATATAGGCTTAATGTAAAAATTGTGAATAAATAAGAATGAAACGAAGGACCATTACTTAACCTAGTTGATAAGATCGTTTTAATTTTCAAGCTTGATAGTTTCTCATGAGACTATAAAATTGGGAAATATTGAATTAAGGAAAGAATGGCTAATGAAACAATCAGAAAAATTGGAAATCATAGAAAGAACTAATACTGGTGAAAAGAAATATGAACAACTTTGGTTGGAAAGCAAAAGTCGTTTTGAAAGTATTCCTTTTGTTCAGAAATACTTGCAGGTAAAAAATAGAAGTAAAATTATCCAAGAAAACATAAGTAATCTAATGAATGAGTCCGTAAGGTTATTGTGTGAGATTAAATTAAAAAAAGAATCATTGTTGGAACTGGATCAAAAAATGGCAATTGACCTTGCTGCATTTCTGGTAAAAGAACAACCCAAAATAATTAATAGTATTCAAAGTAAAATGAAAGAAATTAAAGAATTAAATACAGAAATAGCAGTTTTGGAAGACAAAAACACTAAAAGTACCTATTCCAAATTGAAAAAAGGAATGGAAATACAACAGAAACAACGAATGGAGGGAGCATCTTATGATTCAAATAAAGTAGACAATAATTGGCCAACTTTGTCTAAAAATGAAAATGAAATATTATTGGTGTGTATGCTTTCTAATCGGATCAATCTGTTTTAAAGTATTGTGCAAATAATAAAATTTTTAATAAATATTCAAGATGCCGAAGCTTCAACTTCAGGGTATGGATTTGGACATATTGAGTGTAAAATTAGACCAGGTAAGAACAATAATTAGAATGATTACATTTATAGCCAAATAATCAAATAAACTTAATTATTTTAGATTAGAAGAGTTGATTTTGATGCTGAGCACCAGAATGAAACAACAATGATAGATGGAATTAAAAATAAGAGTACTGAAAGTAAAATGAGTGAGACATGTTCTTCAATATATTTTAATAATATAGCAGCAACACTCAATCAAGATAGTCAAAATAAAAATTATTCTAACAGAAAGTTGATTCATATTTTAAAAGATGTAAAACTTGATAAGAACCAAACATTGCAAATTATTTCTGAGCTAGATCCTAATCAACTATGTAATATTAGTGCTATAAGAAAAGAAATTTCTGAAGTGCAAGAATCAGAAATTAAGGTACATAAAATTGTAACATTCAAATTGTTTTAAAAATTTGAATACATAAATAAAGTCAAATTTACAGGTGAGTGAACCATTGCTGATAAAAAAGGATAATATTCATGATAAAAAAAACGAAATTCTTGTGCCACCCACACAATTTTTGGATGAAAGAAAGGTTAACAAACAATGATTATATTAAATAGGTTACATATATTTACTTACATTTTACTCTAGTCTTCCATTTTATAATATATAGAGTTCACAGGAGCAAAGTGTTTCATTTGATATATCAATGGAAGTAACTGATTTTAAAGAAACTGAACATGGCCAGAGTTCTATTCATGAGCATGGTAATACTAATGAATTATTAAACAGTCAAGATGCTAGCTTTGTCTGTGATGAGGGCAGTGGGAAAACGAAAGATAAGATTTTAAATGAAGATAACTTAGATTTATCTCAACAATTTGTATATAATGAGCATTCTATTTTACATAAGGTAGGTAATACAAGCCCGTAATATTGTAATGATTATCATGTCACGGCCCTGAATGACGTAATTCATAGGACTCTTGTTACCATCAACATTCCTTCTATTTGGGAGCCCTGTAGCATTTTGTGTCCTGACGGTTTGACTTTGGCAGAGCCTTTGTTTGGGATTCTACTTGTGTAGTTTTTCAGGCACTGTCAGGCAATTTCTTGATATCATGCCACATGGACAAGGTATATTAGACAAAATGTTCTTTAGTTAGATTTAATATAGTAAATATTTTCCAATTAACATTTTCAACTTTATAATTAATATTTATCTTATAATAATGCACATTACAAGATGACTGAAGACAATCTCATCACTTCAAAATTTTTTGGTTCTAAAAGTAATAATAACAATGAATCAAGTAACCTTGAGGAAAAACATTGCAATGATGAAAGTAGAATTAATCCAGAGCCTCAAAATGCAACCACTGCTGTAAAAGATAGTTCTGATGTAAAGATGGATGAACATGTATTACCCAAGGTAAATTTTGGACTGTGAAATATAAGTTTATCACACATTTTACATTAACTTTAGAAAATGTATATTTCCATTTATAATCCAGAATAGCCAAAATGATGAAAATATAGATATACCTGTAACAGGATTTTTATTCAATCATGGATCACAAGGAGTTCCAGATTCCCTTAATTTGTCAGAAAGTACTATGGGACTGGAGGAAGTTGATGGAGAATTTCCTCATTGTATTGGTATTTTTGTAGTTTCATATTTTTGTATTTTGATTTATTATTAGTGACAACATGAAATATATTTTATAAGGATATTCAAAAAATTTCAGATTCAAATATTTTACTATCCCCTAAAGCTGATGTAACAATAGAAGTTACTGACAATGTTCAAATGTCCTCTCAAGAACTGCCTAATTTTATGACAGGTATAATATTTAATTATTTTAAAACAGTTTGAGTTAAAATTGATTAATTCCTTTTTAATTTTATTTATTAAATTTCAGGTGTACGAAAAACTGGGTTCTCATTTTTTGGGTGGTCATCAACAGATTCTAAGCCAAAATCCAATGTCCAAAATGAAGATGGCAATTTTAATTTTAATTTTGTAGGTGAAGAGAAGAAAGGTAGAGGAGGATTATTTAATATCTTTAAATAATTTAATTAATCATTTATGGGTTTTGTTACTTCATTGCAAATTTGCTTAAACTTCAAATAAAATAAACATTATAATTTCATTATTAATTTATTTTCTTAATTTTTTTTTATAAAATTTATTATTATTATTGGTGTAACTGACAAGCCCTTACTGCTATAAGCTGTAGTAGTATAAATAAAGGTGCAAACACTTCACTATATTCTATTGCTGAATCACCTTGTAGTTTTCTACATAGTAAAAACTTAAATACAAAAGTCAAACCTAAAAAAATTCCACTCCATGAAGCTCTATACAATGATGCTCTGTAAGAACTTTCAAAGTTCATACGTATACAAACTATACAACAAAAATAAGCATTCATTGCATCACTAACAAATAGTGGAGCAAAGATAGTCCACCAAGCACTATTCACAACACCATCTATCTTTAAAGCTAGCAATGCAGAGAATATGGTCAAAGTTATCAAGTTTATCCATATTTCAAAAACTGTTAATCCAATCCACTGTACAATCTCCTTAAGTGTGAAAAACATTGTCATTGATTTGCACTAAGCATTGCTGTTCGAAATATTCGGATGTGAATGGAAGAAGAATGGCGCACTTGGGCACTGAAGTCTAATTCATCTACCAATGGCTCCAAATCATCTACAAAATTTAAAGGTTATTATTGAATTACATTTATGATGACCGTCTTGTAAAAGAGAAATAATTGGCACTTACCAACAAGATCTACTGTGCCAGTGTTTACTTCAAGTTGGCAGGTGCCAGAAAAAATAGTTTCCAGCTGCAATGCTAGGTTACAGCATCTTTGTATTGCAGCTCCTAAACCATGTAAGATAATTTCTTTTTCACCTTTAGTTAAAAGATCACAACATTTATCCAACTGAGCCTGGAAATATCAGAAATTACAATTATAACTTCTTATAGTACGTACTCTCGGCCACATTTTCATAATGTTTAATGAAACATACCTTAAAATTAGTCTTCTTAGTTACGAATATTACATTGTTACCCTCAACTGGGCGGATTGGAAGCCGCTTCTTTAGAGCATAATTTTTATTAAGCAATCGTTTTGTATTTTTAGTTTCTTGCTTCTTTTCTGATATGTTTTCATCTGCCATAATGTAAACCAAAGTAAATGTCAAACTCCAACACCAAAAATGACAGAGAAAGGTCGTCAAACAACAAACGGGGTTCTTGTTTTTTGAACTAATTAAGGTCTTCAATCATAGGATTGAAGACCTTAATTAGGGTATAGATCCTTAACAGTAATTTTACCAGTATTTTGGATAGGTATGCTTCCCTGGTGCACAATGATGACTTAGGGCACATTGAAGCCATTTCCTACGCTGCACCTCTGCGACCCCTTTTGACGAAAGTCGACAATTTTATTTTCGTATGGAAAGGGTTTGGTAGTAAGTGCGAAACTGAACGACCATTCCGACCTAGTTGGTGCAATTGCAAATACCTTGGCAACTGTCCTACAAAGTCATTTTACTATTCCACTAACAAGGGTGTCACCATACTATCCAAGATGGAGGTTCGAGTCAGGGCTTTGACCATCATCTATGGTGTCACCAACGTAAGAAAGGAACTTGAGAATGTTGAAATTGCAAAAATAAACAAATTTACAAAAACAAATAATTGCAAAAAATATTCACGAAAATCATCACTTCGCAGAAAACATAATTACCAGAAATAAAAAGATGAGTGATTAATTAAGGGACAATCAAGTGAAAGTATGCAGACTCGCTATTAAATAACAATTATAAATTAAAACATTATTAAGTAAGGCCGAACCTGTGACTGACCAAGGGATTATAATAATAATGTTTGGAGAAATCGAACGTTTTGTCTGTGCAATACAGGATCAGATTATTAAGACGAACAACTATCGCAAATACATTCTAAGGGAAGACATCGTCGACATCTGACGAGCTTGTCGCCATCCCGAAGAATCGCTTAGGCATGTTATCTCCGGTTGTTCTATGCTTTCTAACTCTGAGTATCTGCATAGACACAACCTAATAGCCAGAATCCTACACCAGGAGCTCGCTCTAAAATACGGTCTCGCGGATCGAAAACTGCCGTACTACAAGTACTATCCGAAGGCTGTGCTCGAAAATAACCGCGCCAGGCTCTATTGGGACCGGCCCATCATCACGGACAGGACGACTCTCGCCAACAAACCTGATGTCGACTTGATAGATCGGGCACAGTCGCGGATATTTTTGGTTGACATTACCATTCAATATGACGAGAACAGATAAGAAGATGAAATATTTAGTCCTGGCTCACGAAGTGACTGACATGTGGAGTGGTATGTTGACTGAAATTATCCCGATAGTCGTGTCTGCGAATGGATCGATTACAGTCAGGGTCAGCTGCTCAGTATATAGCTGACACCCCTATTGCGATGACCAACGCTAGAATTTGCTGGTATTCTGGAGAAACCCGTGTGAGTATTAACGCGTCGCTCACTGGCAGATGCGTGAGCGAATTTCTTAATGTTAAGGCATAAATAAAATTGAATATTATGTAAAACGTGTATAATTAATAATGTGGTAACCATAGTCTCTATATATAAAAATGAATCGCTGAATGCTAAGCGCAAATCTCGAGAACAGCTGAACCGATTTCGCTAATTATTTTTTTATAATATTCCTTGATACTTCAAGGAGAGAAAAATTGCCTGAAAAACTTTAAAAATAACACCTCTATATTCCAAGTACAAAATGTACAAAAGATTCGAAATAATACTATAAAGAAAATATTAATACCATACCATAAAGTTTAAGTGTCAGTGAAGGGGTTCAGGAAAGGCAAAAGAAGTGAGTGAATGTTGTAAAATGTCACTTGAAATGTAAACATTTCTTAGCTGTGCACTACACACACACTATAGAACAAAGTCGTCCCGCTGTCTGTCCTTATGTATGCTTAGCTCTTTAAAACTACGCAACGGATCTTGATGCGGTTTTTTTTAACTAGATAAAGTGAGATAGAGTAAGAATATCTTAAGGTATAATCTGTTTTTTTCTTACTAGTTACTAGTTTTAGCCTTAGCTTTTTTTTCTTTTTTGTTTTTTCTAAGCTATCTTTTTTTGTATTTCCATAAGGAAAAGTCTGATTTTACATCTAAACGACGATTTAGTTTGGATGTTTGGTGCGATGTTATCCGGCATTTGGTTGCTGCATATTGAACTTGCTTCTAACCAAAGTGGATCTATGTCGCGGTATTATGAGGCGGCGACTGCGACTACTGCTGATGTTCCTTCTACTCCATTGTAATTTTTTATTACTTTATTATTAGATTACGTTGCGAGTGTATTCGCTGCGGATCATACTCGCGCCGACATTTCGTTGCCTGTCTGTCATACGCAGCGACTTTCTACACGAGAATTTCGACCGTCTGTTGGTGCCACAAATATAAATAAATGTGTCGTCTATTTGAGCTTGAAGTCTGGAGCAGCGTACTGAGCGGAATGGTTACTCGAATAGAGTACTGTCGCAAACAACGAATTCTCGCGTCGGAGGCGCATTCGCAGAGTAAAAATTGAACATGCTCAATTCAATTCATGCAACACGCGGCGAATAAATCTATTCGCAGCAAATGGCCTGTCATACACAGCGAGTTCTCGCTGTGATTAGGCACTCGCATTTCACCGTGTGTCCGAAGCTTAACTGTGTTAAGGCCCCGCATCAGTCTTTGTTATTATACAATTGGGCAACTCAGAAGACCAACGTGAAGAGAAAGGATTATACTTCGTTTTTTATTGTGAGAAAAGTAACCGGGCCCACTTTATTAAAAGGTGGTAACGCATTTTCAATCCTATGGGTGTTGCAAATCTTCATCACTGGTTATCAATTAATTAAAAAAAAAACAACGTAAGCGTTAGAACCGGCTGCTACGTGAATCAGATGGCTCGCACTCACCGTCGTGTGCCTTAGCACGTACATGGCTTAGCCATGTATGTGTGTTTGTTAATGTGTGTGTTGCGAGGTATTATTGGAGACAAGTTATAAAACACAGCTTTTACCAATTTATACAACTATAACTCAACGATGACTCCATAATTGTATGACAATAGCACTTAGCTTTTACAAACAGAGCAACAGACTTAACTACCAATAACCAAAAAACTAATCCGCGTACGTTGTTAGAGTTGAATTTATACCCCTCTAAACAAATACCAACCACCCCCCCATTCTAGGGTGTGGGTGCATCACGACGCAATAGGTATCAAACCAACAACTTTTAAATAAGTACATTGTAACAAACTGTACTAATAAATTATTGATAAATTATTAATTAGATAAAATATGTGCCATAATTATAACATGTATTCTTTTAGTTTGTTGTCACTCAACGATGACATGGATTTTAAACGCGGAAAGTGAATAAATCATTCTTCGTCATGCAGTTATAAAAGAGAGAAATCTGAGTTTTGAATAATTTCTGACAATATAATTTGTTTTAGTGCTCGAATAAATCGGTAAAAAATGCAAAATCGGTACGCCAATCATTGTCTTAGAAGATTTGGAAATCATACCATTTGTCTGTTTTATTCTTTAAGAAATCTTGTAATTCCTCTTTTAAATCCCAAACCCGTTCAAATGCATATCCACAACTTAACCATCTTACTTTCATGTGGTAAAGAACTTCAGAATAATCTGCGTTGACTTCAATCAGGAATTCATGGAATTGTCGGTGTTCGAAAATCACGCGTTTTTTCCAACCATATTCGGTGCTATGAACTACGCGGCTAATTAAGCTTCACCTATAGGTTATGCATCTATTATTCTACTAAGTAGAATCTACTTCTTCTTCTCGACCGTCAAAACATAATTATAACGGACTATCATGTCAATGGACCCTCGGTGGGCCGGATTAAATACTTTCGCGGGCCGGAGTTGGCCCGCGGGCCGTACTTTGCCCATCAGTGCTCTAGCCATTGTGCATTGTGTTGTTGTATCATGTTCTAATCGTAGAAAATCTCGACGTATTTTATGTTATGAAAAAAAAAAGAAACTGTTCATATATTTTTCTATAAATTTTTTAATCTCTTATTTTATTGAGCGCCGAGAATTAGCACTATAAAAATTTTTATAGCATAGGAAACGTTTAGGTTTAAAACGACGGCCTGCGCCGTCACGGCGGGGGCACGGTCCGAGTGAGTACGGGATAGATATCGAACGCTTTCGCCAATGGACTTGAATGACTAATTATTCGTTTAAAATGTAATATTTTTAAAAAAAATATTATTCTACACCAAATTACAATTTCATTACCAGAAACACCAAAAGTAAAAAGAACAACCAAGCGACAAAAGAAAATATAAGAATTAAAAATTAAAACCAAACTCTTTCAAAAGCTAACCAAAACTTTTCTTCTTCTTCTTCTTAAACTTTTCAGTTCTTATTGGTCTGATGGAATGACATTTATGTCGTAATCTAATATTATTAGTAGAGTAATTTATTCAAATTTAGTCATGACAAATTAAAATGTAATAAACCATCATATTATACATATTTTACAAAAATTTTTAGTGTTGTGTAATGTTTAGAATTTAAAATGGGATGTATACTTTGTTCAATAGGTTCTTTTGTTTCGGTTATTTTGGACGCATTGGAGAGGTAAAGTAAATAACAAGAGTAATGATATAAAACAGGCGAAATCATAGCTTTCATTTATATTTAGTGAACATTAAGTTTATTTGGTGCACATACTTGGACGTATCAATTTTATCGCATTCAACCTCTATAGAACAGACAGCAACTTTACACAGTTTACTTAGGCGTCGATTTATATTGATTGCTAAGTCATCACCATCGCCTCGAGTCAATTGCAACCATACATAAGTTGCAAATGTGTCACCTATATGCGGCTATTCAAAATGAGAGATAAATTTTTCTGTGGTGTGGTGCAAGATACACGTATTTGGAATTATCAAATACCGTTAACAACGAATCGAATCACGTAATTAGGACTTTTGACATTAGTTCCCTTCACTGATAACAGATCTAATGCTTTAGCTACATCTAGTCTAATTTCCAATACAGGTGAGTTGGGTACACTAGATCACAGTCCTGAAGACGAATGACCCCGACGAAATCCATTCTGGCATTCGCTGATCAGCTGTTACTTTTGTAGATACCTTAGTTTATGATCTCCATTATTTAAAAAAAGGACGATGGTTAATTACCTCTAATTAGTTGGCAAGCATTCATATTAAATTTGTGCACGAACTGTACATATTATCTTTTTATTCTTGTTTCAGGATATCTCTATGGACCGTATGTGCTATGTTAATATGTTGTTTAACTATCACCATTATAGCATTATTGTTGATCGGAATAGGTATTGGCTATCATTATTGCTTCATTGGCAAAATATCGAATAATACTGGTACGTAAACATGGTACTTGACGATTATAGTAAATTGTTAGGATCCTTTTTTTAAACATTATACCTACTTGACAAAAGGAACATTTTAATGGTTTGGATATTTAATAAAAAGTATCTGTGCAGACGGAAGTAGTGGTTTAAAAATTAAGGTATACATCCTTTTCATTTTCTTTTATGGGGGTGATTATCGAACAAGCACCGAGCCTGGGAGTGAGTGATTACCATTGCTTCGAAAATAAGGTTTGCAAGACATTAAGATTCATAATTAGGGGCTCCTCAAAGTTGCCAAGTCGTAGCGATTCCCAACATCGCAACAATTACTTCCCAAGTTTTTTTTATGTTTTTCACTTAAATGAGCTGGCGGTTCACCTGATGTTAAGTGATAACCGCTGCTCATCATCCATGCATTGTTGAACATCTTCATCACATTCGGTGAAATTGAGTTATTTTAAAATAGTCATCTTCAATGAATATAGTTTATCGACTAGCGGTTACTGGGTACTGACGTACGAGTATAGCTAATAAGTAGAGAAATGAGCGCGAGTACTAGCGCGAGCGAGGTATCGTGTAGTAGTATAGTAGGCACGCGCAAGTTGGGCAGGCGTAGTCACTCGTTCTGTTTAAAGTTCGGATAATCAACATTCCACTGTACTTATACGCGCACAGAATACCAAAATTGTAGAAATGGGAGACGCTACTATCATTTTTTTCTTTCTTTTAAGAACCCAACAGAACGCAGAATGCACTGCCTTCAAATTTTTTAATACGTTCCGTAAACACAATTTTTCAAGAAAACATACACCAAATTGCACGAAGAGAAGTTACTGGATTTGGATTTACCAAAAAACCTTTCAATATAACGATGACACGCGTTCCAATAGTTAATGTGACGCAACTCAACAATTTTGTGTTATAATTACTTATTATTTTGTAAGAGAAAAAGCAAATAAAAGATCCTTGTAAAATGTTTTTATTTTTTTAATACGAATTAGGCATATAAAAAATGGAAGGAAAACTGTAAAATCGAAAATTATAAATTATAATAAAAAACAAGTATAAGCAAGTTTAAGTACTATTATTATATTATAAATAGATGAACTTCTTATTATCAAAGATTATGAAAAATGTATTTTAAGTGAGTATGTATTGTAATGTACGTAAGATAATAAGACTATCTAGTGATTTACAAATTAAGAGAAAACGGTTAACTTGTCTGTAGCCACTGTATTGAGAAGGTACAATAAAATATGTCTACTATACTTAATCTCATGCAAATCCAATTTGAACTATAAAAATTATGCAAATCATACATTGCTCGTGGACTCGTACAGGACTCGTGTTTGTCACGTTGCATCTTTTGTATTCGTTTCCGAAGTGAAACGCTTGTCACTGCCTCCTAGATTAAGGATTTGGACGATGGTCGAGTTGTTTCTTCTCGCTCTTCGAAATCGACCGATGAGCTTTCTAGCTAGTTCTCTCTCGTGAGGCGTCAGTTCGAATTGTTGGTTTGGCCTATAAGTTGGAATTAACATCTTAAATTTACAGTTATAATTATAAGATAATGATAGCCTGTTACATTCTCCTGGGGGAATCGTTGGATGAGACATTTAATCTACTGCGATATACATCGGGGCTAGTGGGAACACTGCTAGATTGGAGGAGAAGAAATAAGCTCCTAGGTTGCAGGTTAGCCCTTCGACCCGGCTCCCGCATTATCTTGGCGGAAAGTTTTAATAACCATGGCTGGGTTCCCCACGGCGAGGCTATGAGGAAAATAAGGAAAATGTGGGTTCCCTATTCTCCACATCCGTAGTCAGCGGTGGTGCCTCAGACCAGATCCACCGCTAAGAGGTGGGAGACTTGCTGCTTGTTAGCATTGGCTGTCCTGGCTTCCATGGCCTCCGGGCAATTGGTACGGGCGAAATGTAACATAATCGCGCTTTATGCTCCAGCGCGCTTTACTATCTCCAGCGTGCCTCCTCCAGGAGGGGCTGCTATATTAAATAGCCAGTTCAACCACAGGTAGAATCAAACTTTGGTCTGTAGTTATTTCGTATAATAATGCAAATGGTATAAGAGGCTAGAAGGATGAAATCGCTATTTTTGTATATTGAAATCGCACCCTGAAAAGTCTCAAGCGTCCCAAACATACAAATTCGGAGTAGCTTTTGTTTTATTTCGCAAAGACATTCGAGCTGTTTGCCAGACAGCCTTGCACATGCAATCAAAGCTTCGCTGACGAATCGCTCTTTTCGATAACGAGCGTACGGCTCTCACTCTCTCTATATGAGCTCTCCCTCCCCTTCATGGTGAGTGTCACCTTCGACTTTCGACTCCAGAAGGATATTTCTTAAATACAGATTAAAGACGTTAGAAACAGAGCCGGGTTCGTATTGGATCGGCTACGATCTAACGAACTCTGCTAGAAGAATGGCCCTTAGGTTAGGCTTACGTACGACACCCGGAAGGAGGCCACGGAGAGAGAAAGGGAGGCAACTGCCACCCTGGAAATCCGCTGCCGGAGACCAGGGCGCAGGAGGCTGGCCTAGGCGCGCAACCTTCCCCCCTGGTAGCAAGCCCCGGGGCAGCAGATGTGGGACTAACTGCTGCTCCGCGAAGGGCTTTAGAGGGGTGCCGTGCTCATTGCACCGACACGGCACCATTTGGCTGGATCGGGTGTCTAAGCACCCGGGGAGAGGAGGCCTGATAAGGCCACAGTCGCGCCGGGGTTCGCGGAAGATTGCGTTTTCGTGTTCCCGTGTCCCCGGCAAAGCGACAGCGCAGGTGCAACGTGGGTTTTTTTAGTGGGTACCCTGTAACTCCCACATACCCCTGATGCCTACCCACAAGGCGGCGGGGGATCCATAAAGGATTTTTCACACGTAAAAAAAAAAGCTTTCGTACAACCCACATACATATCTAAAGAAACTTCAGGTGGTCCTCCTAGGGGTAAATGCAGTAAGTTACCCACCGAATTTTTAGGCGGTTCTCAACGTACCCAGCCAACGATTAACTTAACCAAGAACCATCGGAGTCACGGTTCGTGCCGAACACGGTGGTGCGTCGATAATAAATAGCAGCAGATGACGCACACATGAACACAAGCGCGACCCTACTCAATCCACGATGGACAGAAAGTTTCATGAAGCTTATATAAAATTAGTTCAATACTAGGCTGTTATTAACCTCTCGCTTTCCAGGACAATAATGGGCGTCGCTGATGACTCCAGGAACACTGATTGAGTGATCGCTCTGGTCTGGTATGCATGTCCTAAAATATAAAGAAAAATTAAAATTCAACCTTAGGCTAGAGCGTTTGGATGCGTAATCGGGTTCGAATTCTGGCAGTGACGAAAAATTGCGACAGTTTTATCTACAGATTTTTAAGTTAGACTAGCGTTAGAAGTTAAAAATTAAATTTAAATAGCAATGCGACTAGTTTTCAAATTCATTGTTGAACAACGCCAAGCATTGCTGAAAATGCAATAAAAGCAAAGTAGTTAACACGTCAAGATTTTCGCGCAGTGAAGATGCCGACCGCTTAGCCTGGTATCTAAAGCTATGGACGTGTAATCGGGAAGACGCAGGTATGAGTCCTGGCAGTGGCGAAAATTTTTGCGACAGTTTTATTTAAATTTTTTTTATAGTGCTAGTCTGAAAAGCGCAAAAGTGTCAGCAAAAGATCGGTCAATCAACAGTACCGTTCTGAATTTCATCTACATTTTCACTTAAGCCAGAAAGCATGTATAGGAACGTTGCATCTATAACAAAGAGTCAATTAATGAAGAGTGTAAATTAAAATAGAATATTGTGAGGAAAGTTAAGTAAGGCTTCAGCTTCTAAGCGTGTACGCTTAGAAGATGAATACAGAAAGAATTAAAGTGAGTGAAACGCACCAGGCCATAAACGTGCGTGTGTACGGATGGATACATACAAGGGCGGATCCAGCTATGGTGCCAGGGGGGGGGTCAAGTGATAAGAAGTTATAATTTAATTTTTATGATCATAGATAGAAGTAAAAAGTAGGTACTTATTTTTAACCGATTTCAAAAAGAAGGAGGTTATCAATGCGGATGTTTATATTTTTTTATGTAGGTATGTTCGGGCATACCTTCGTCATATATTTGCAAAATTCTTTTTTGTTCGTACATTTCGTTGCTCTTTTTATTATCATATATTATACAGGTTGGCTTTTATAAAGGTGCCCAAATTCATACAGGAGGTTTCATACAGGGACTCAGTAATATTTATTGAAATAAAAACAAACTTGTTATTTTTCTTAATTTGGCATTCTATTCCCTAAAAACAACAACAAACTTGTTGACAATGCGGTAGTCATTCATACATGCGTCGTATATTTTTGAAACGAACTTGTGTGCGTGTTAGTTATGAATGATCGCGCGTAAAATAGCCCATTTTTGGGGTTGCCCATAAATCACGCACCTTCTGAGATAAGTTCAAATGAGTGTAATTTAGTAATTACGAGTGATTTTAAATATTTATCATTGTTGATATAACTTTATTTATGTTTAGAATTAAATAAAAAAATATGGATACACTTAGAAAAGCCACCCTGTATAGTATGTTTTTTAAGTAGCTATTGGTACGCTTACTTATTTTTGGAATTTCTTTTATTTATTCCTTTGTTACCAGAATTTATGTATTCGTATTGGTTATAATACGCACGCTGGCTCCACTTCAATGACAAGTAGCCTAAGATGGGACTATCGGGACACGGGTTAATAAGAATATATAATGAACCCAAATGAAAACTCCTAAAACAGCCGTACACAAAATAAAATTACATCGTCCACATTAAAAAAATGTTCATAAATAACAAAAAAATATTTATTCAGTCATTCATTCATTCATAATATTCAGCGCTTCTAATTCATCTAATCGAAGACAGAATCCACATTCATAACAAACGGAAAGAACAAACTTTATTTCGCAAAGATGGTCATGCATACTTACGTCCACTAAACCACCACATCCCATCCACTAAAAGACCCATCAAAAACAGTCCACCCACTAAGACGAATCAAACTCGACGCAGTTGTGTTCCTTAATTACTGAGTTCCTATGGCCACACTCCAGCTCTGTCATCAGACCCTGGTTACCATCTAGCACCAAAGAACTCATCATGACGAATCAAACGAGCCGAGACGATATAGGGTTGCGTCGTTTCTTTACTGAGTTTATATGACTATCTTCCAGCTCCATCATCAGATCAGATCCTGGAAACCATCTAAAAATTAAGTACTAGCCAAGACAAATCAAATGAGCGGAAACTCGATGGGGTTAAATCGTTTCATTACAGAGTAGTCATAGGAACCTCACAAAATAGCCTCATAGACCTCACAGAAGATCAGCGTAAAGTACTTTTGCGATTTGTCTGGTGAGTACCTCACTCAGGAGATGCGTTTTCTCCTTATAATAAGGAGAAAACGCATCTGCAACCCTATGCATATGTCCATGGACGGCTGAAGATGGAACTCCATCATCAGATCGTGGTTACCAATGAAAGACAAACTACTCGTTAATACGATTCAAATGTACCCAAACGCGATGAGGCTCTGCCGTTTCATTTCGAAGTTCCTTTGGGCTTCTTCCAGCTCCATCATCAGATCAGCACCATGTCATAAAAATATTGGATTGTCTCGCGATTTCCACATGTATACAAAATTTCAGCTCAACCGGTAACCGGGAAGTAGATCAAATTTAATTTGCAAGATTTGATTTGATGATTTAACATTAAAATATTGTAAAAATGTTCATAAAATGAAAACTACTTGGCCAAACTATGGTAAATTTTTATGGGACCAAATGGCAAATATTCTGCATCAAACTAAATAAGAATCACGTAAATCGGATCTAAATCTCAACGTAATCGGTGTACATACATCGAGAAAAATATACCAATCGAATTCAGAAACTCCTCCTTTTGAAATCGGTTAAAAATATTATATAAATTTAATTCAATATTGAAGGTACTTACATTAAATCTATATTGTGGCAAAAAATATATTAAAACACTATGTTTAACAATATTTATTAGTGGTCCACCTAGGTCCTGGACCCAAACCAGGGAGGGGGTCACGACCCCCATGACCCCCCCCCCCCCCCCTGCCTGGATCCGCCCTTGGATACATAAGTGTTATACCTGGAATCGACGCCCATGTTTGTGTAGAGATACGGGTGTGCAAGGTTTTTTTGTGTATGAGGGTGGGCAATCGCGGAAAATAGGAAATACCGAAAGGAAACGCGTTAAACGAAGAACGAGCCTAATTGTTCTGTGTGACAAAATTCCTAAAACAAGAAATTCCATAGAAACGGTGGATCAATACTTGTGATTATTGAAGCTTGCCAATCAGTTGGGTAAGCAGCGATTAATAAATGTGTTTCCTGCGACTATTCCACGACTATTTTGTATATTTCACGCCTTTATATGCTAGGGTCGGTTACGTTTATTATACACGATAGCATACCAGACATAACATCTGTGACTTGCTCTCCCTGCGATCTGTTAACGGCGACCAAGCGCACTACGGGTTCGCTCAGAGCCTCCGCGCCGGTCTCCGACTTCTTTGACTCATCCGATGAACCTGCGTAACAGATGAGTTCGTAGTTTGTAAAGAAATTATAGGCTTTCTATAAAAAGCTATAATTTCTATATAAAGCTATAATAAAAGCTATTTACAAACGTAGGTTCTTTTGTCACACTTAAGTTCTACTAGAATTATATATATAGCCTTTTTATTTTGATACAGCAGAGATTTTATTTTCTCATTGATTAAATATTGTTTTTCCAATATTAATGATTATAGAACACTAAACGAGGCAAGGTCTTAAATTTCAATGCAATTCATAGTTTCAGTATGTTAGTGCAATTCATAGTACGTTTTTTAAAACTAACCAAGGTATTTTGCCAATTCCTTTTGGCCGTAATGGTAACCCAAGGATATGCCGTACAACGTGAAGAGTATAACTAATACCATAATAGTCATCAGAACTAAGGCGCAGCATGTCCACGACACAACTCTAAAATAAACAATGCAACAAGTTATAATGATAGTTTGAATTTAATCTTGTTTGCTGTGACGCTTTAAAACTTAATCTTTTAAACTGTTGGAATTCGTGTGAAGTATGAAAATAGGAAGAGTGGCAAAGCTAAGAATTACAATTGATGTAAAATGAAGTTGTTGAATTTTGAATATGCAACAAAATAATAAGCAGTAACATATGATTTACTCGTTTGTCGAAACAGTCTGAACATTTTTTTCAATAGACATAAAAGAAGTTTGCTATAGAATGACTTACCTTTCGAAGCAGAGTACTACGCCACATATGACTGATTGAATCAAGCCCATTGCTCCTTATTGACATACCTGGTATTATTATGCGGCTTACTTTGGAGAGCACAATATTAGTAAATTTTTATTTAAATCATTATTGTCTCACACATTGTTCAGATATGGTTTTTGTAAAGTATCCAACAAAATAATTTATATCCATATAAAGTCTGTAATCAGTAAATAAGGACCTACATAAATCTCAATAGGGATTTTAAAAAAACCTAATATAAGACAGAATTTGTAGGGTCCTATAAAAACAAATATATTCTTCGTATTAATTTGTAAACTCGCATATTTTCAATATATTATCTAACATAATCTACACGCATCTATACCTTTTTAAGTTATATAAAAAATTATTCATGCGCAACCCTTTTCATAAGAGAATGGAGTATATTAGGCTATTGCTATTCGGTCAGTAATTGTTTGTCAATTTCATGTAAACAACAAAATGTCAAGGAAAGTGAAAGCTTCTAAAAACGGTACCATAACCAAAGATTATTTACGAATAAATTTCTCATCATAATTTTTTTTAAATGAAATAATAAGCAACTAGTGTCTCAAATCAAGTAGAATTAAAAAAATATAATTAAATTATCATGTTTATTTAAAAGCTGAGTACTATGATTTTATTTCATCTACACCACCTCGATGCCCAGCGTTCCAAAACAGCGCGATTTTCAAGGCATTTCCTGCCTTGCACAACCACTCTGTGGGACCAGCTGCCGCCGGTGGTCTTTCCTAACCGTTACGACCTGGAAACCTTCAAGGAGAGAGCATGCTCTTTCCTAAAAGGCAGGTGTCCATGAGCGGCGGTGATCACTTACCGTCAGGTGAGCCTCCTGCTCGTTTGCCGCTTTTTTCCCTTAAAAAAATTAATCTGAATTATAAAAATAAAGTAAAAGACTATAAATATCCCACTGCTAGGCAAAGCGAGCGCACTGAGCTATCACGGCTCGCTTTTAATAGAGTACTACTTCTTAAATATTATGTCCTTCAAATGCGACCTGTTTCGCTTCCTGCACTCCTCAAAACGAGAGGTGGAATTTCGTAAAAATGGAACAACGTCTTTTTTAAGGCTATAAACACTAAGTAACCATAAATTTTGTTATTTTCTTAAGCGTTGTCCACGAATATTCTAATAACGTGAACAGCATCTATGTTTCTTTTACTAGCCGTGAAACTAAACTTTTCTGTTATAACAGTTTCTTTGTAAGGTTGAACGCCTTACAAATCAAACTCTCACCTTTCCCAAAACCAATGGTACTTGTATGTCTATTCTTGGAATAGAAGTATACAAGTGCCAAAGAGGCGTGGGCTCTGGATATTTTCTCTCGATAAATGTCATAAATGTGTTCATAATTTGGCCAAAAAATTTTTGGGCAAATTATGAATTATCCGCCGCCGCCAGGATTCGAACCTGCAGGAACCTTTCGGGCAACGCGGCAAGACGCTCTAGCCACTAAGCTAAACTTTTATATCATCACCGCGCAAAAATCTTGATGCCTCCTCCATTACATTTTGGCGTAAGTACCCCATTTCTAGTATTTTATTTTCCGTTAAATGCAATTTAAATCAAATTAAAAATATATTCAGTTTTAATAATGTTTCTTGCCCACATCCCACTCGGGCGATATTATTGCTTATAATTAATAACGATCTTTATCTTTCATTGATCATCCCTAGTTGGTTTTTTGACGTCATATAAACAATTATTTTTAAATTTTGTATGCTTTGCATCAAAACACTCGTTTAAAAAGTGCGAACTTGTGCTTTTATTATACAGTCGGCATGTCTTCAAAAGTAAATATTATAGAGTACTCATTCAGTTTTTGACGAAAGATACTATTGTTCGTAACTCATAATACTAATTTTGATGGCAGTTAGCTCATAATACTAATTAGGAATTATGATGGCAGAACCTCAATGAAATATTAGTAATTTATTGAAACTGTTTAATAATATTAAGAGTACTTTAAACATATAAGAATATGTTCCTTGAACAAAAAAGCCTTCAAAATTCAAAATAAACCATATGAAAATTTTAGAATACTGTCTCGTGCTTATTTTATTTTATCATTTTTCTGTTGTTCTTCCTTTTTATATGGACGCCAAAAGGATATTTTGATGTTCTTAAAAATGTTATCTTTCGATCGGCGAAGTCGTCCTATATTCTTCTTGGAGTCAAATTTTTCAGCCGAAACTGGTTCAGTACTATTAGATAGTCTGTAAAATATGTATTCTCTTACTGAAAACACGTTTCGTTATTCATTACCTTATTGTATTCACAAGTGTTTTACTACATTTGGTCTTTACGAAAGACTGCATTATATGAAATTATCGTCACCGGTCGTAAAACGAAAATTGTCTAAAAACGCTTGTGTGATGTAAAACAACAGAAAAAAAGGTACGAACTGGTGTCAAAGATTATAACAAAGTCGATCATATGTTAAATCGAACATATAATCGTACACGCGAATCACAGCCGAGTCGGCTGGCGCTAATAGTAATCTAGTTTGGACCGTCTATCCACACTGAAGCCGGTCGACTAGACATTTTTCTACTTTTAAAATTACACTTATTCGGGCGCCTTTATTGAAATCTTGGTTCATACTAAAATCATATCAAGTCTTGCAACAGAAGAAAAATTGTTAATTTACAGTGAATAATTCCACACCTAACGAGTAATTTATTAAGGAATTAAGTGATACCTTTCAGTGAACTCTATAACTATAGGCGTCTCAGCATGGGCATTCGTAGTAGTTGGAGGTCGAGTGTCATATAAGTCTGAAATTGTTTTTTAAAATTGTTAACTGTTCTTAAATATGATACGTTTAACGTTTAGGTACTGTTTGTCTACTATTAGGAATATTAATGAATTTCTTTGAAACTATCTGTTTCTTTAAATTTTTAGACATCCTATACAAACTCCACATGGATATATGTAGTAACTTCCAAAACACTTTAACAAAATTGCCGTAAAATAACGTTTGTTTTAGGATTAATATTAGTTCATTATCATCATCATTATTGCAGCATTTTCGAGTTCACTGTCGAATTTAGGCCTCCCCTTCAGACTGTCATGGAGCTTGAGCCACCTGCATCCATCGACATCCCGCACATTGGCACAGGTCGTCACTCCATCTAGTGGCGGGTCACAAAGTCGTAATAAAGAGAGTAAGACGCAAATAAGACCTTCACTGCTGGCCATATGAGGCTTCTTTTACAAAGGACGAGTCGCAGTTGATATGTTGATGGTGATTGGCAGATACGTAAGAAGCTGCAATTTGACGGTTCGTGATCCTTGTTCAGTGTAATAAGTAAATGTATGAACCGAGTATGGAATCCAGGTTAGACTCGTTCAAACGATCGTCGCTGTCAAGACGTCGTCTCGCTTCATACGGGTTTCCCTTATAAAACCGTCGGTCCACTATCGTCACGTAGTTTGTCACGTTTCTTGACTTCACTAAAAGAAAGGTGTTGTAGTTATTAGTTTCACAATCTTAAACCATTAATGGGTACGTATTAAAAGCATGAGGTTTTATATGTTACTTTTGAATAGCGTTTAGTTCAAATAACAAGTCAGTCTAGAACACTATTATCTACATAGCAACACTACGCTAACATCTGACACACAAACAAATAACCAAGATCAACAAAGTTGCAAAACAATTTGTGTATACGTTTCAACAAAGCTGTCAAAACATGTAATCAGTGCCCGATTTTATGTTTAAATCACGCACGTACTGCTGTTGTGTTCGTTCTGTTTTATACACAGCTTTTCTCAGTTTTTTACAGCCTTCGTTGGCGGGAAAAATCGTGGCGTGCCAAAGCAACACAACGTACACAAGGCACGCCCACCTTCCGGGGCATTTCTCATTGCTTCCAGAAAAGGTAACCACAGTGCTTGAAGTGGAAGTATTAAGCTTTCGCGTTTCATCTGGTGAGTGCGGTAACCGGGGTCCACTTTTTAAAAAGTTGTCAACGCATATGCAAGCCATCAGATGCTGTAGATGTCCGTGAGCGGCGGTATTTACTAAACATCGGGTGAACCGTCTGCTCGCTTGACAACTTTCCCCATTAAAAATCTGTCAACCGATGATACTTTACATAGTTCATAAGACAAAAGGGGGTATTATATTGTATTATATTTTGCGTGAAAGGAGTTGGGTACTAAGGACCAACCACCGCGATCTAGAAAACTCTATTGTAGCCCTTAGAAAACATTGCCACCTTACTGTAACATTATCCTGTTTTCTAAGGACGTTTTACATACATAAATTTCACGCGAACAAACATCCAGATCCGGAACAATTGGTTGTGGGTAACACAAACAATTGCATTATGTCGCAATCGAAACCCTGAATTCCGGTGCCGAAACCAATACCTTGGCTATTGTGTCACGGAGTCATCTACAAACATTATCACGTAAACATCAGTGTATGCCTTGTTAAATACCGGGGAGAAATAGCTTTGCCAATAGAATGCTGTGTATATAGGACCGTTGGTGGATATAATCCTAATCTATAATGTTTTGCATTTCTGTTTGAATCCCCCACCCAGTACTCGCCTGCGAAGTGAGCCAGTTCTGTCTGCCCTGTATGATATCCCATTGTCATGCCGTAGACGACCATTACAAGCATAACAAGATTAACACCAGATATTACTATCACACAGCAGCCCCATGTTATAAGTCTGTATCGAAACGAAACGTAATTGAGTCACGGCATTGTCCCAAACGTAAGCTACACGTTTATATAACAAAGAAAAGAACCCCTCTTAGTTTTATATATAATTTTATTTTAGTTAAAAACATTACCCTCACTTTAGGACAACATTATACTGTGTTGTAAGGACGTTTTACAAACATAAATTGCACGAGGACTGACACCCAGATGCGAAACAACTATCTGTGGGTAACATTAAAAATACGTACAGACCGCAACTGCTTACATAGCATTACAATAAAGTGTTAATTGCCAAGCTTAGAAGAGAGCACCACCCTCCCTATTTTAATCACATCCTAACGACTTCGAGTTGAAGAACCCACCAATGTATTCATACCGCACGTCAGTGGAACACGGCAGTATGTCATTAGACTACATCATTATCAGTCAGGAACTCTTAAAATATTTCTTCTCATATTAAGAATCATGAGGCTTTTCTGGCTATAGGTTGCACGTTTTTTGAATGGAAAAGTATAAAAACAATAAATTTATCAGCTTGATGCTTTCTGAGAAATATCGTAATTATCTAAGGGTATACTATTTTATGGATACTTTCTATACATTGATAGGTAATCCTTATTTTAGCTCCTTAGTAACTCGAACCGTACCACGGTTTAACACTTGAACTTGAGTTTATTTATTTATTTATTTTGCACGGTTACAAAATACAAATTCTAACATGACTAAATTATTACAGACTAACTTATAATTATTACAGACTAAATTATTATATATATTACTAAACTTGCATTTAATTTTTTTTGTTTAAGAATTGTATTCAAAGAAATACGAAATATATTAAGATTAGCGTGTTTTTGGTGCTGCAGTTTTGGCATACAGCTACGGCCTGATTTAAGTCTCATTTAGTCGTTTTAAGTTTCTTATCAAGAGTAGTTATTCTCTGTTTAAAATTAGATTATTTTTGTTTAGTACCTGGAACAGCACAAATTGAACGTGGCGAATGTAGATGACACTATACCCATATTCGGTAATTAACGGTCCTGTAAAATATTTGTTTTTTAATTTCTGATACATTTATATTAAAAATAAATTGGTAATATAAACTTTAAGAGAACTTCCAATATTGCCTTATTATTAAAAAAAATGGTGGACTTTTACTTTAGAGTAATAAATCTTACGATGAATAAATAGTCCAGAAACAGAATAAACAATAGAAAAAGAACTAACTCTATTTCAACAGATATAACTATCAGATTCAACAATATGAAAAATTAAACATTTCACATACGAATTGTTTTTCTTACGTTATTACGTGTATTTAACACTAACGGTTTTAGTAGTTTAAATTTTCTGTATGATAAAATACACCGAATGGGAAAATGGCAAATAATTACATTGACCTGAATACAGTAAGTGTCACGAATCCTTGATCTACTTGCAACCAGTGACCCAGAATGGAGGCATTTGATGTTTTGTTTTACTTCTAATCCCTGGTCTTTTACACGTACCGTAAGATATTTAAAATGTGAATTCTTGATTGTTTTCTTTTTCGATTAAATTTTTATTCGTAACTGCAAATAAATCTGTAGACTTCAACCTTTTATTCACAGTAACGCTGTATACTCTTCTTAAAACTTTATTTACGAGGCTCCGATACGCGATCTAAATGAGTTATTTTTCAAATTGTATTTTTACTGATTAATTTTATTAGTATTTCTGTTTTTCAGAAATATTCAAAAACATAAATAGCACGAGAAGAGAGGTTATAAAGTGATACTAATTGTCAAATTGATAGGTGTTGAAAAAACGTAGAGTCAGAAGAATAGTTAAATAATGAATATAACTATTCTTTGTGGTTCTCACTAGAAGTTTTTGGTAAGTACACTTGGTTTAATGACCTCGTACTTGACTGTTAATTAAAACTAAATTAAAAATCATCACCATTAGCCGGAAGGGGGAGGCCCTTCGAACGCCACAACGAACGACACTTTGTCATTTACATCTACCGTTTGCCCGCAGCTCATAATGTCGTCAGTCTACCTAGTGGTTTTTTTTTATGGAATAAGGGGACAAACGGGCAAGAGGCTCGCCTGATCGAAAGTGATCACCACCGCCTATGAACATATGCAACACCGTAGGACTTTCAAATGCATTCCAACGCTACGTCTTCCGCTTCGTGGTCGCCACTCGAGAACTTTTATTCCAAATCTGTCATCAATTCTTCGAGTCATATATTCGGCGTTGATGTTGATGCCGAATCCATCCCAGCTTAAGAGCTTGAAAGATACTGAAGTTGGATAGATATGGTGTTTATCTGTATACTTCGACATACTTTTAGTTGACATGGCATCGCTGAAGGGCCTGCAATACACTCAATTGAATTAGTTCATTAAGGCTTTCTCATAGGTCATAAAGCTAGAATTAATAAGGCTAATTATACTCCTCGGTCTTCTGTATAATCTAGCGGAACGTGTGGATATGGTCTATGGTGCTAAAGGCTTTTCGCGAGGCTGGAAGTCAATGAACTTGCACTCGAGACAATTCGTAATGACTATAAAACAGCTTACTTACATGACTCATGACAACACTATAATGAGTATAGTTAGAGACTATGACCTGAGTTCGTGATAAAATAAGGGATGTGCATATAAAGATTTGCACACCATAATAATTTGTTGTTTTTTATCAAGCACATAATTAATTAACATTTCGGTTACGCATTCATGGCACGTCTAATCTTTGGCCTGGGAGAGAGTTCGTTCCTTTTTTACCTGGAAGAAATTCCTTTTGGATCCTCCGCCGATCGAGGTGAGTGTGAGTTAGTTAAGTTTAATTAAATGGTTAAACAAAAATACTTCACACTTCTTTCATGGAAACCAGAGCAAAGAAGTTTTATTTCATTATCTTACTAAGAATTTTTATAGAATAGTGGGTGAATTATAAACCAGTATAGAGTAAATTTATTTGGTACTAGCTGTTCCCGTAACTTCGTCCGCGTGGAATTAAAAATAAAAAAAATTTAAATTAAATTTGCCTAAGTTACTCCTGATTACATCAGCTATCTGCCAGTGAAAGTCCCGTCCAAATCAGTCCAGCCGTTTCGGAGATTAGCCGGAACAAACAGACGAAAATTGCAAAAAAATATTATTTTGGTATATGTATCGTGTATACATCCATAAGCATTTAGTAAAAAGCGGTCAACAAACAGACACTCCAATTTTATTTATCTGTATAGATAGTGGAATAGGAGGCTAAATAAACACACAATGGTAGATGAAACAACTTTATTAAACAACAAATAATGTAGAAAAACAAATTACAACAGTCTTGGAGTCGAACGCACACAACCAATAGAAATAATTTAAAATTATCCATAATTGAAATATTGTAATTTAGTTTACGTACTTGTAGTGTGAAGGTATGAACGAATTCATGCGAGAATGACGAATTTGCATCCTAATCGATTACAGTGTTAAAGGATTCTTTTTATTTTTCTTTTTGACACAAATTAAAGTTTATGTCTAACATAACATTTACAATATTGCTATTAATCGTCACTATAATTATTTAGGTAACAACACGCTATTATGTTCCATTGCTTAAGATTATTATAAAGTTAAAACCGTTATATTGAAATGTACACGTCAAAATTGAAGAGAATAATTTATTCACATTGTACGCTAAACAACAGGTACAAATTTAACAAAATATATGTTATTGAATTTATTAAAATTTATGGTTTTTTTCATCTAGTCGTTTGTGGCGATGATAGAAAAAACAAAAAAGTAATTTACTTTTACATTATTGAGAAAATTTGAAGCTTTATTTAATGTGTGCTTTATTGGCAATATTGTACGTTTTGCTTGCAGAAAAATAGATTAAATGTAAATAATAATGTTTTAAAACTACAGTGATGATTTATAGGCATAGCAGCAATGGCATTTGAGCAAATTAGGAATGAAATAAATGTCATTACAGTATGTATGAAGAATTATGAAGAATAATACAGGTGTTTAGTAAGTATAAGTTATTACTTACATACGTAAACATACAATATTTTGTATGTTTCTTAAACCGGTATAAAATATTTGTGATTATTTTATTCGATGCTTTGTAAGTTTTGCGGTTTTCCAGGTCATAACAATTAAATGGAACTATAATATGAACTATATTAAAAATTGTGCAGCAATCACTAAAAATATCGTTCATGTAATGAGTGAATAGATAATAGAATAGTACCTATCTAAATAAAGAAGAGAAAGGTTATCACCATTACAAACAGAAATGATTTTTGACTTACTTAATAGCTATAAAAATAACTTAGATTTTTTAAAAGAAAAATTTTACACAATCATTTAAAAGATGGAACGTAGTTATGGCCGGATAGAACATATAGGTATCAAGAGACATGTTACTAGTAATGTTTTCATCAGTTATATTTGCAACAATAAAACAAACACAACATTTTTCATATTAAACAATTTCAAATTTCTGATTAATAACATTTGTATATAACATATTTATACCAGTCTTGTTTTATTCAACAATAATCATTTTTAATATTCCTCTTACTCATCCATTAACTTGGTCTGTAAGTGTGACTTAAATGGCATTTTCAAAACAACCATTCACATCCCAATTACAAGAATGAAGTAGTCATCTGATAACTTTCTAAATAAATACAATTTCCCATATTTCAAAAAACAATTTAACGAGAGATTAAATAATTTATACGATATTTGCGCATGAAGTGATTATGTTTACCTTTGTCTAAATAGATTTTCAAAACAAAATCGATATGAACTAACCTTCATTTTTACATTAGAAGGGCCAACATTGGCGAAAACGTGAAAGAGTGCTCGTAGGCGTAATAATCCTGTAATACAGTTTATATTTATAGTAATTCGGTAAAATATCATGTGGATCATTTCAAAATATTAAAACTTGTTAACGTCTATCTTTTTGGACGACCCGTGTTTATATGTATTTTATATACAGGGTTGGATTTAGACGTGATGAAAAAGAAGAGAAAGTACAAAAAATGTATTATTATTTAAGTTATAGTATTTAAGAATCGAAAGAAAAAGTATATTTAACGGGTAAGTCCACGTAAATAGTTGATAAATATAAAGATATAGAGCTATAGAGATAAAGATTATCTATAATCTGCGTGGCAATAATTGAAAATGTCATTGACACGTGGTAATACCCACTTTGTAATTGAAAACTATACAACGTTATTACCAAATGAACCTTTTTAAATGTTAGATGTGCATTTATATTCGTCATTTGTGTAAATTAACGTAATTATAGTATTTTTTCGGACTATCCTTAGATACGGATAGTATATATTGTTCGAAGCATGAAATTATAGGACAAATACTATAACTATAGTACAAAATCCAACCCTGATTATATGTCATATACTTAGTGTGAATATTGCTGTTATAAAAAGCGTGTATACATACTAAAAAAAAACTTTATTGCTTCTGTCGTCGTATCAAATATACATGTTACACGCAAATATTTGCCGAAACATTGCCTCATAAGCGGGCGTGTCTGCACATGTCGATGCATGTCAACATGCGAAAACATGTGCGAACATGCGCCAACATGCACATGCCTAAATGCACAGAGAGGTGCATTGTCGACAACTGTGGACGCGCCGTCAGTGCTTGCCGTGCAGCAGGTCCCATAGGGGCAGCTCGGCGAGTGCGGTGTGCAGCTCGTGCGCTAGCTGGGCGGAGAGAGCGGGCGCGGCGTGGGCCACGCCGGCGCCCCTCGCCCACGCGGCCACCGACGGCGCGGCGCCGCTCAGCGGGCCCAGCCCGGTGACGTGCATGTCCATCGACCTGCGCCGGTTTTTAACGGTGGTAGGGCCACGCGGCAGCCCCGGCTGTTGCACGAACGGGCAGGCTCGTCCGGGTAAGTACCACGACCTCACAGAAGCCCGGCGTAAAGTGGAAGTATGACATTTTCGCGTTTCGTCTGGTGAGTGAGGTCCGGAGTCCAATTTTCAAAAAGTTGTCAACGCTTCTGCAACCCTCGGGTGTAGCAGATGTCTATGGGCGGCGGTATTCACTTAACATCATGTGAACAGTCTGCTCGCTTGGCAACTTTTCACATAAAAAAATAAAACAAACCATAGCATGTCTTGACTTGAGTAAACGGGGTTCGAAATCCCAGCAAGGGTTGGCGTTTTCCTTTTGCTTGTTGTATGATTGAATATCATCGTCATCGTTTCAATCTGTTTAAGTCCAATGCTGGACGCAGGTCTCCCCAACATATAGCCATTGAAGTGATTTAGTTATTTTAATGCATTGATGTACAATGAAATCCAGTAAATATTTCGAGTCATGCATACGTATTACTAAATTGTATTAGGAAAAAGTAAGATATGTTATAATAAGACAGTATTGTCGTAAGTAGAGTCTGCAAAAAAATCTCTGCTCGAGTGCGTGACCGTCTCTTACAAATTTCTCATTCTCTCCGTCAAATATAGGTTATGATAAAAATAGTATGGACTGTAAGTTTGGCTGCACCTAGAGCTTAATACTCAGAGTAGACACTCGGAGTGGTTTGACGCGGTTCAAGCTGTGGCGGCAGTGTTATTAAGCGACGAATGAGAGGGTGTTTGTATGGAATATGGGGGGAGTACTGACTGCATGTGATGCAGGCGTAGGTCGTCTAGCTGCGCGAAGGGCTCCCAGTGCAGAAGGCCCACGGTGAGCGCCAGGTGCAGAGCGCAGTCTGCAAACGCGGCCGCCAAACGGCCAGCGCACGATACTCCCATCGCCCGCATTCTGTACTCGTCGTAGCCGATCTACGAACGATACCGTTCCGTCATTCGTTGGCAAATTCACCGATAAACATAAGCACGACCGTTGCCCATTATGTATGGGAGAAGAATGCTTGCACATACACATTGCTTCTGCTATATTTCAGCGGTATTTCTGTTACCGCATACCTAGATAAGCCTTAATGGAAAATGCTGTGTGATTCGTAATGTTTAGGTCTTAAGTCCAATAAATGGGCATGTTTACGATACGTTTGAATTGCTAGTAATAACGAATGCATTCGGGTGGCATTGGTATATGGCTTCCGGCTTTAAATATGGAGCTTTTTTTTCTTTTTTTAAAAACGAAAAGAAAAAAAGGAACTTTTATAAGATATTACGAAGGTCGAAGTCTATGCAATAACCTGTGGTCCTCTCATCTTCAACTTTGCCCGTTTCGGTTGAATAACCATATTGAGACGGTGTCAAAGAAAAGAAGATGTATTATATTGGTCGGCAATTGTATTTCAAACTTTTGAAGTATGTATCACTACAGTCTAATTTCGGCTCTCACTTTTGAATCTTTTTCTAAATATGTTTTACTTATCTTTTATATGTGAGAAGGTGGCAAGAGAGCTCGCGGTTCACCTGTTGTTAAGTGATGACCGCCGCCCGTGGAAATTTGCAACACCCGTAGGGACCTGCCCATTCGTGCAACAGCCGAAGTTGTTGCGTGGCCCTCCCATATTTAAATATTATACAAAGCATTATTTACATAAAATTAGCTGTGCCCATGACTTCGTCGAATTTGAAGTAAATAAAATTTCCAAAATAAAAGTAGCCCAAGTTACTCCTTATTACATAAACTATTTGCCAGTGAAAGTCCTGTCGAAATCGGTCCAGCCGTTTCACAGATTAGCCGGAACAAACAGACAGACAGAAAGACAAAAATTAAAAAAAAATGTTACTCCGTTATATGTACCGTGCATTTGCATTTAGTAAAAAGCGGTTATTTTAATATTGCAAACAGACACTCCAATTTTATTTATCTGTATAGATATTAATCCAGTGAGATGACAAAACACTATTATATAGAGACCAAATTACGTTTTGTATAAAAACTAAAATAGTAAACTAAATCACCTGTAGGTCTTTTATCTTCAGAGTAACGCTAAAGCTCGTCTTCATAGGTTCCGACTTTGTTATGCTGACATCATTGATTCTGTTTATTGTTGCCAAGTTCTTCACCCAGCCGGTATCCGTTTCGAATTTGCCCACAAAAGATATTGATCCGATCTGTAAATATTTGCAACGGGCATTTTAATTGGAGACTAAACTAAAGCCATCTTCATTCCTTTAAACACTTTTATAGTTCTTTAAGCAGAAATAATGGGCAGGAGTATTTTAGCAGCGGCAATGAGAACTGCAAGTTATGCAACAATAAAATATGTCAAGGTTCGCATTTCTTTACTTTACAGAGGTTTCTTTCAAGTTTTTACGAGAAACAACACAGGTTCAGATAAAGACCCGCAAAAAGTTACAGTCCACGTGTAGTTTTAAAAAAAAGTCAAATACTTACAATTCTAAATTAAACCGTTTTAAATTTTGAAAGTGCATAACTATTTATAAAGGACTAATCTTAAATTGAATTAAAAAGAGATTATCCCTCACAACACCTGATTGCACTTCTTTCAAAAACTTCGATGGCCCTTAGATGACATGTCGTAGTTAAACGCACGCATGAGCACATGCGCGGCCCTACCCACAGCTGAGGGCCCAAACCCGTGGGTTCTGGCTAGCCCACCGGTTCTGCGTCAGATGAAGCTTTAATAGTCTCGGGACTGAAAGCAAAAACATCAGTTAATACAAGATACAAGATACTTCTTTCAATACGGGGGACTCCCTGTAACACCTTTTTACGAGTTTGTCACAGTTACGTCATCGGTTGCGTCTAATGCAGTGCCTTAATAAGCTTGATCAAATATGACACATTTTTTTTAACTGGATTATTTAATTGCAGTGTATAAAACGAATACGGTCATTACGCCGCTGTGATTGGCTGTTTTAATAATTCAAGCGTTTGTTCGCGCGCTTTTTGTCACAGTTAATATCCGATAAATCGATAAACATATAAATCAAAATAGCGCACGTGAGGTTTTCAGTCATTGAATTAAAAAAAAATCTCTCGCCGTATTGAAATCTGTTTCATAGTAATATCATTTGTACCTTATGCATGAACGTGGCATGCAATGGGGGCAGTTCCAACACTTCGCGACAGGTCTGCAGCAGAGTTCTACGCATGTTGATAAGCACCATATCGACCACTCTGTTGCCGTTTCGCGCCAAATCCGCCACCATCGCACTGAAAAGTTCAAGTTGGCAACTATGCCCTGACTCTTAGCTCCTCATCGACCGTCAACTTCGTTTGGGTTGTTCGTTTGGAGGAGGCTATCTAGCTTCAAAGGGAATATTGAAGGGAAGAGTGAAGATGTTCTAAGTCACGGTGGGTCGTTGGGAGTTACTATCCACACCCTTCCACAGATATCAAAATCATCATCGCATTGCTAAGTTACATCGCTTAGCGAGTTAACGCCTGAATAACTATGTAGGTCAAAACGAAAACGTTGCAATAGATAAAGAGAAATTAAGTCGGCGACAAAAAATACACGTTATCTGTGAACGTTTTCGCGCGGTAATGTAGTTTTAATTGTTTTTTTTACGTTCGCCGCCGAAGTTGATTAATGTTATGATGTTATTAATCGAGCGTTAAGTATTGGTTGCATTAAAATAAACATTGATAATATCAGTTTATTTAAATATTACTCTCTTTGTTCATTATCTCTGGGGACATTATGATTGGGCGTGTAGTAATAATATTTTTATTTCACTTGCTTTTTGGGATTACAGTAGAATTGATAAGCCGGTTCAAGTACAGCCGAGTTTTGATCATTAAAGTGGGTATGAACTTATTTAATAAATACTTATAAATTAATAATTATAATCAATTCACATTCGGTACTATCATATATGTATTTTATATGATTATTTGCAAAACAACTGTTTTATATACCTTTATAATAAAAATGTGTTTTAAAAAAAATATTAATTCTAATTAATATTATATAATTTCAATGAATTAATTATGAACTTTATATCTAGAGTTTAACTTAAATCATGACCGAATTACACGAATTTGCAAACTTCTAATTAATTGCGTTTACACTTAAAATTTATAGAAGGGTTACAGTACTCGTTGATAAAATATGTTGTACGTCGACCTTTGGAAAGACACAATCGGCTATTTTCGGCTTCGTAGAGCGTTATCCCTGTCGCACACTTGTAGAACAACTGACAAACGTCACATAGGTAGTGTGTGACTGGGATAACGCTACGGAACTAGCTGATTGTCACTTTCCCAAGGTTGAATATTTATCGGCGAGTACAAACATAACGATGAATACTGTGAGCAATATTTTTTTACCTGTATACCTCCAGTAGACTAGGGTTCGAATACACCACTTCTGAAACGCTGGTTGCTTGTTTTAGCACGTGTGAGAGGTGCCTTTGTAACTTTTGCCTCAACTGTGCATAAAGAGGCAGAGATATTGCAGCAGTTAGAGGGAGATCATCTGCAATAATGATTTAAAGAATAATGACCGCTTTTGTATGGGCATGCTCCAATCATGTGGAAAAAGTAGATTTTTTTAATTTATTAATTTTTATTACGTTTCAACTTGCCCATTTTTGTGTATTCAGTAAAAATAAATGTTTTTTTTCGAAAACCCTTACATTCTAAGTTAATTTCTATTTATTATATGCAGCTGATATCATTTACTAGCACAAAAAAATGTATGCTAATTAATTATGTCAAGTGTATACAGTAACAAATAGATGAGCACTATGATACAGTCAACACATGTGACACTTAATATTATTCCAATGGTACTCTGGGATTAACAAATATGTTGCATCTAACATGAGAATATGTTATAGATAAAAATTGTTAACAGCTTAAAAAAATTCTTACCTATGTGTTTCGCTAATTGCTCGGTAGTAGTGAACTCATATCCACCATTTCTTTGTGGTGATGGCCATGACAACTAATGTAAAACACGAAAGAAAACGGTTTATGTTTCATAAATGGACAGTTATTTATTTGGAAATATTTCTAGCACAGAGAGGGATTTATAAATGGCAGCAAAAATACTTCGAATTTGAATTATTACAAAATTATTACCTTTACTATGACTTCATCATGAACAAAATCAATTCCAGGATTAATAAATGAAAAAGCATCATCTTCCATCACTAGACCGACATTAACGTCTGCCGTCATATTGGACAATGATATTCTGAAAATAGTTTACATATATATATTTTTATTTTCATTTGCTATAAAAAATAAAGCTAAATAAAAAAATAAAGGTAACGGTAATGTTTAAGTTACATTACATTATAAGGGTTTTATCACAAAATTATTTAAGTGTAAATACCACATCCTTTTAGGACAGACCTGAGGGAAGAACAAAGTGGATAAAAGTTTATTACTTGAAATTCCAAAATAATTTTTTAATTTTTTTTACACAAAATTTTACTTACAGGACATGGCCCTCTGACATAACTGGAATTAAATTGTAAAGATTTTCATTAAATGCACTATACAGGCCCTTCACACTGACTTCTCCGAGTGAGCATCTTAGGTTCAGGGCCATTGATTTCAAATCCAGCGATAAGTTTTGAAGGTGGAATGTTGGTGATCTTAGTAGTTCCAGTCTTGAAAGGTTACTATAAAAAAGTTTCAGTACATATAAAAATTTAGGACACAGTCATTATAACTATGTAATATTTGATGAAATATATTTGATTAAAAAACTAACTAGCAATGAAATTTTTCAAATCAAGTGTCTTCTCTTTTTTATTCTTTCTCTGAGTCTTTGGCATTATTCAATTTAAACGTTAGAAGTAATGAGATGTTTTTTAATTGAAAAAGTCATTAAAGAAAGAATTTTTAACTACAGTGAAAACAGGATTGTGTGATTAAAACGTATGGAGTGTTTAAGTTTACATTTGGCTACAATTGTTATTTTGATAAATATTATGGGTAAAATTTTTTAACGAGTCAGCTTCGTAGAGGGACTGGGGTTGGGTGGGGGGAGTGGGGGTGATGTGGTGCTGTGTCGGATCAGCAACTCATTTAATTAAAAAAAAAAATTTGATCTAACAAACTCTACTGAAGTCTCTCACTTCCTATATTTATCATGTTGGCAGTACTGTGTATTCAGTTTTCTTAATATTAATAAAATGTGCGTACTTTCTTAGTGAAGACAACAAGTTTTAAATATTTTTTTTTCTCATAAACAGAATGCGACGGGCGAATTCGGCTTGTTGAGTAATTCATTAGTGATTTTTCTCTATCGTTTAATTTTTTTTTATTATTCCCATGAAATTTATCAAAATTACGTTCCATTTCACGTTTCGTAAGATCGTTAAATTTTAAAAAATAGCTTATTAAATTTTTTATGTATCTCCGGCAAAAAAAAATGCGTTAGAGTGCTTGGTACAAACCTCCTTAACCCCCCCAAACTTAGAGTGTACTTAAAATCGGGCGACTCGATTCAAAACCCAACCCAATATTACTTGTATTGGTTTCAATGTTTTGCTTAAAATTGAATAGAAGTGAACTTACACTTGGGTGTTTTTAGAAAAGTATGATGTATCTTCCAGCACATCAGGCTTAATTTGCTCACCATTTTTAGTTTGCTGCAATACAACATTGGTAAAACTCTGCAAGAAAACATTACTATTAATATATAAGTAACCCTTGTTAAGATCTTTGGAATAATTGAAGATAGGTATAACATACCTCCTAACAGTCTTATATAGTGGCTTTGATAAACATTTTTTGTATTAGTTTGATAGAGATGTGTAGTATACATGAAATAAAAAAGTAATTACCCTTTTAATAACATCTTGTAAATTTGGTTGAACTTTTTCCAGAAGATCTAGCAATTCTTGCTCAATATCAATTTTTTCTTCCTCGGACATTGTATCACGCACATTACTTACTTTTTAAAATCAATACTAAAATTTTGATTAAATGTATATATCTATATTAATAACTTATTATTGGAAACATATTGTACAATTGTATCAGTGACAGGTGTACAAATAAGAGTGACTGACACAAGAGACTTGCCTTGACAGTGACAACTGGTGACGTTACAAAGGATGCGTTCCACGAAGCGCTCACAATGCTCACGACCACATTTTTACCCAAAGCGAGTTCGAAAATAAGAAGCTTGAGTGTAAAATATGATAAACTTTGGTATATATAAGCTTAATATTTTTTTTCCAAATTCTGAACGTACTCTTCCACCTTTACAGAGGGGTGGTTGTGAGCTGCGCGTGAGTGAAAATAATGACGTTATTAGTGACGTTTTCATAACAATCATAACATCGTGGTCGTCATGAGGAAATTTTGATCATTGTGAACGCTTACTCGTCTTTAGTATATTAAGATTTTTAATTTCTTTTATGTGAAGTGTAGTATGCTATTAACCTGGCGGCTTGGTCGTGCTCAGGATAAAACAACGGCGACAGCATGGTGATGGCGTCGGCTCTGTGCAATTTCGCGACCTCTGTTTACAAAGTATGGACTTTTAAACTAAAAAGTAGGGTAGGACACGAACTAGGGGTTGTCCTCAGATGGGGGGAAAATATATCCTGTCATGTATGACAGCATCGAAAATGCACTTGACACTGTGCGCGGTAGCTGTGAGTTGCGCGTATTAACCCTCTATAAAATGTAGGCATGCAGAGCACCCTTCTGTGAGGTCGCGGTACTACCCCAACGGACCTGACCATTCGTACAACTGTGAAGACTGTTGCGTAGTCGTACCACAGTAAAAACTTATAGACATAACATATTTATGATTTTTTTTATTTCACTAACAGGTTAAATCAAATTCGTGCTGAAAGGCAAATAGCGCAGCGCAGGGTTGCGGCGTTGTCGCCTTACGTCAAGAAAGAGTTGCGGCAGAAAAAAAATATAAATTAAAATTATTATTGTTATTAATTTTAAGTTCAAAATATCTAATAATAACTTATAAAAAGTGAAATTTTGTAAGTAGCTATTAAAAATTACTCTGAATAATATGTTGTTTAATTTTTCAACTTCGTTTGCACGAGACCTTAAATGGCTGTCACCACTAACTAGACACGCAAGGTCGCATCTTATCTAGCGGGGAGTAGCTCATTTCTTCTAAGTTATTCTTCATGATTGTAAATAAGTTTTAAAATGATTTTTGATTTTTAGATATTTAGATTGCTTAGTTATTCAACTTATTAACTGTGATTCGTGTTTGGATAGTATTTTTAGTATGGAGTGTAGAAGTATATTTTGTTATGTGAAAAGTTGCCAAACGAGCAGACGGTTCACCTGATGGTAAGTGAATATCGCCACCCATGGACATCTTCTACACCCGAGGGTTACAGATGTGTTGACAACCTTTTGAAAATTGGGCTCCGGCTACCTCACTCACCAGACGAAACGCGAAAGTATTTGTCTTACTTCCACTTTACGCTGGTCTTCTGTGAGGTCGTGGTACATACCCGGACGGGCCTGCCCATTCGTGCAACAGCCGAGGCTGCTGCGTGGCCCTTCCACCGTAGTAAAGGAGGACCATCTCAGTGTATTAAAAAGTGTCCGTTGAAAGGGAGCAAATTAAGGTGGCGCTATAGTAGCAAGTGGAAGAATTTTAAATAGAGCGCCACAAATTATTAGAGTAGGTATAGTAGGGAGTAGTATTTTTTCTTTTTATATTAACAACTACGTAAATAGTTGAGATTTTAAATACTGCATATTTATTAACTACAGAAGTCAAGAGAAATATTAAATTTGAAAAATTACCAAGCACACAATTAAAAAATTACAAGCCAATAACCCAGCACACTTCACTCTGCTTATAACTGCTAAGTTCATATCATTTCCACTTGCTACACTAGCGCTATTTCGGTGAGAGTTCGAACAATAATTTGCTGTTTACAAGTGGACACTTTTTCGACTAATCCCCCATACGAGACGATCCTCCTTTACTTCTACACTCCATAATTTTTAGTATGCGAGCGGCAAGCGTTTTTGGCGCCTGACACCGTTTTGACAACGCATGGCGCTGGCGTGCCAGTGGATATAACATATATTATAGAGCGGAACAATAATTTTTAAATGCCGCGCAGTATAGACAAGGGTCATCTTTATTAAAACATCATTATCTATCGGACGGTTTCAATATTCTATCTACAGATCGATTTGTTTACTGGAGATAGAATTTTGACGTAGGTATTATGGAGTTAATGTCAAAAACCTATCGCTAGTAATTAAATCTCTCTGTAGATAGGATATTGAAACCAGCCGTAAATTCGATTTATAAAATATAAATATTTTACTATAAAAGATCTAAGACTCCAATTTTATAGAAATAAACCAATACCAATACCAGCCTCGTACTGGTCATCGCAGTGTGGGACGACCCCCTACTAGATGGAGTGACGATCTGTGCAAATGTGCGGGAAGTCGATGGATGCAGGTGGCTCAGGATCGTACTTCATGGCAGTCTATGGGGGAGGCCTATGTTCAGCAGTGGACTCAAACAGGCTGAAATGATGATGAAACCAATACAAATTTTCTGAGATACGAGTTGGGAATGTTTTGTCTTGAATTTTGCGATGAAACGTGTGGAGTAGTGTAATATTTTTTTTATATTTTGTAGTCTCAGATAAGTTGTATTAGGTTATAACACATCACGTGGATGTGAAACTCGCTGCTATGAGAAGAGCCCGTGGTGGTCAACGCGATGAATATCGGCGTTTCTTCGTGTTTTCAACTGCATTTCATACGATTTCAAAATTGTTTCTCGAATACCGAATCTAGTTTATTTACGCTTATTTCCATTGTATTCCTATTTCTACTTTGAAAATTAGTATTAAAATCCTTTACCTCTCAATTAAATAAATTGAGTTTATGACTACTCCAGCCATAACTAAACTTTCCCGCAAGATCAATTTAAGAAATGTCGAGTCTAAAGTTATGGATGGTGATTATAACGTTTAACTCTAGAAATCTTTTGGCAAAAGCATCACTCGATTAATGTTTCGTCTTTCCTACCGCGGCTTCCCAACACTTCTTACAAGGCATATGCCTTGTAAAAAATTCTGATGTCGGCGTTCAGCAGGGAGATCCACTAACGTTATCATTATTTATTTTAGGAATTCATTCAATTATTTCAAAATTGAAATCGACGAATAATGTATCGAATAATATCTGGTACCTTTACCATGGTACGTTGAGAGGTAAAGTTGATGACGTACAAAGTGATCTTATCAAAATTATTAAACAGTTTCAAAATATCGGTCCAGATTTAAATTATTAGACAATCTAAAAATGTGGGTCCCGATTTAAATAATTTCAAATGTGAAACTTTCTCCCGAAAGATATACCCTATTTCCGACAAAATTACTTTTAACTATCACACCAAGCATTAACGTAGTCCGTACAAATTGACTTTACCTCTAAGATGTTCCTAAGATTTTTCCAAATTTGGAATCTCTTATAAAATAAGAGTTAAATAAATTTTTAGATCATGTTTACAAATTGTTTTTACTAAATTGACATATTGCGCTTATCGTTTTGCGATATTGTGTTGAACTTATATTTACGTATCTTCTACCGCTTGAGGACAAATTAGAAAAGTAGTGATTATTGAACGAAATTGATTTTCATCTTAAATCGGCTTTAGAAAAATTTGTTTCTAAAATGTAAATTAAACTGGAATCAAGCTACGTTACCAGTTTGTTTTGATGGTATTGGTGTAAGAAAAATTTGTAGAGTTGCTCTATATATTTATATATATATATTGAGTGACAATAATAATATCATAAATCACAATTCTATGAAAGTTTGCCATTGGAAGTTAACCAAAAGAAAAACAACTATAGGATATTCCTTAACGCTGAGAGCACAGAAAGCTATGTTTCAGATAATGATGATTCAATCTTTAAATAAATAATGATTTCGGCTTCAATAAGATATTCCTTAGCCTGAATATTATTAAAATTTTACGTTTTCAAGATTTTGTTTGTAATTTTTAAACGAAATATTTTTTAGGTAGTATTTTTAAAATTAAACTTTCTAAGATTGCGTTAAGCAACTGAATACCTAATATTTTGTGGTAGAATTATTTTTTTTCTGTTTAAAATGGCCACTGGGGGCAGACTAGACACTTCCAAATTTTTATTTTTTTATCATTAATTTAGCAAACGTGTATCATTTATTCATTGAGTTAAATTAATGTTCTGCTTTATTTTTTATTATTCATTTTCATTATTATCTTTATCATTATTTGTATCCAATTCTGTATTCGTTGGAGTATTTTCGTTACCATTATCAACTTCATTTGATTTTGGGTCCTCATCATCATCTTTGACCAGTGCTGGCATTTTGTCCTCAGCATCTGTTCTCTCTTCAGGAATATTCTCATTAATAAACAAGTTAATTTCTGCATTCTTTTCGTCACCTGCGTCATCATTAGTGTTCAAATCTAGATTTCTGTTTTGGCCTGCTTCAGTAAAACTTTCTTCCGATTTCTGAATATCTTTATTAATATCAGGAATTGTTTCTGGTATAGCATCTTCATCGCTATTTCTATCACTATCATTTGTTGAGTTTAATGGCTTTTCAGCCTCGCTATTTAATTCTTCGGACGATTTTGTAGCGATTTTTGATTTCAGTTCTTGTTTTTTATTTTGAATGTCAGATGTTAATGATGGTTCTAAAAATAATAAAAGAAGCTTTGCATGATTCCTATTTAATTAAAATACTTATTTTAAATGTCAAATTATTCTTACCACATCTCGTAATAGTACGCAACATTCTTATGTAATGAATGATGGTGTTAGAAATGAAGGTGAAAACGTGTCTTTCGAGTAAATTCTTAAAGCTTGCTATTATTCTATTTGCAGGCCCTTCTAGTGTTAGCGATTCCGGGCTAAAAATTGAAATAAAAATGTAGCTATTTCATATCTAAACATTCATCAATGTTATAAGAACAAAATTTTTTGCATATTTTGTCATGTTTTTGTTTAATATTATTATTTAATTTAATTTTTATACTTTATTTACATTTTTAACTAAGTTTTATTATGCTTCTTATAGACAATCATTACTTTTGAATATAGCTGAAATTAAAAGTTAAAAAATCTGTACACTTTATTTTCAACACTTACTTAATTTGTTGAATGGAATCAAACATTAGATCTAATGTCTCAGGGTCTTTAATCAATGTTAAACCCATATGAGCTATCAGTTCATCAGCTGTCACCACTAACTTCCCAGTAATTGGAGGTACACCTGTATTAAATTCAGCTTCGTACTGGTATGTTGCCTTAAAACGGACAGTTTCAAAGTTAGCTTGAGCTACGGGTCTTTTAGGAAACGAAAATTTTTATATGTATTAAATTTAAACCTTCAAACTGCTAAAGCCAACCACAGCATTCACGTTACGTATTTTGTTGTCTTTTCTGCCAGTTGCTAATGATCTCCTGTAAATTGTGTCTAAACCGCGCAAAACACCTTGTGTCAGTTTAAATCGCTGTAAAAAGCAATACGTTCATTAAACTCTAACCTATACCTATTGTGTACAGAGAAGGGAAATTTTGTGTAACTATAGTTATAAGTGTTTGTTTATAGTTATAAGTGTTTTTTTTTATAAACATTCGCGGAACTCAGTACCAAAAATGTGCGATGAGCAGAGATTTATGTCAAAGGATATAACATTTCACTATGTATAAACTTTCAAAGATAAAATAAAACTACTATACCATTCCATCAATGGAGGTAACGGCGAATTGGGGTAAACGTACAGTGCGTAGTTTTAGTTCTTTTAATCTTCCTCGTATCCTTTCCAATACTTCGTCTGCATATTCATTCAGTGCAACGGTTTTTTCTTGATTGTATTGTCTGAACATTAGTTAGAAACATAAGAGAGTATAACGTTGGGTGAACAAGAGAATCAATTCATAAAATAATTTAAAAATTCTTTCCCGCACTCTATAAGTGAAAAAGAATTATTTACTTTGATTTTCTTTGGTAAATCAAATGAATTAAATCCAATAAAAATTATATGTTGCTTTATGATTTAGAAAGGCATAATTAATATTTTAGAATTTAATGATTAGTTACTACTTTTTGTCAAATGTCAAAGTAGTTTAAAAGTATTAACACACTATTCTTACATAAATTTCTCATTTGCCTTCGCTCCCACAAATCCGAAGTACATCAGATAATCGTTGAAATAATCTTTTAACCATTTGTCCAAGGCCGTTTTGAGCTTGTCCAGAAATTCGCCTGAAATACAATAATAATGAAATAGTAGTAAATGCAAAACCATCTAACATTCATAATTTCTTTTGTCTTTACCCTGAAGAACGTCTTGTAAAGTAGTATGGAGTTTGTTGAGCTTTTAAATGTTCTATTATTTTAAATCTTTTAAAAGTAAAAATTTAGAACGTTATAAAGTCAAAATTGAAATCGGTATAATAATAACATTTAAATTTTTTTCTAAACAAAAAAAGGGGCGCCAAACAATTTCGTACGCTGGAAAGGATAGAACAATAGATAAAGATTAAAAGATAAAAATTAACGTAGAGATTTTCGTCGCTGTGGCTATCAGCCGTTTAGCTCAGTGGCTAGAGCGTCAGGCCGCGAGTGCTGAAGACGGTGGGTTCGATTCCCAGAGCGGCGACAATCTTTTCGGATTTTTTCTACATGTTTTAATAGTTAATTATTTACAACTTAATATACAATACAGTACATTATTCCATAAATATTCACCAATATCTTTTCGTTCCAATCCCATGGAGGTTTTTTCTCTCTCATTATTTTGATACTGAAATTAATGTTGAAATCAATGGGTATTATAACGCGTTTCAACACCTAAGATTAAGTAAATGTATTTGATGCTCACCGTCATCAATATATCACCAAGACTGATATTAGAAACCATGAGTTCAATTGCTAGTTTATCTCTTAGCATGCGATATCGACCTTCCATGTTGTATTCAACATTCCTCAGCAGAAGCCTGTTAATGGAAAATTAAAAAGAAGCAGTTTCCACTGAAACCGATAAAGTAAAAAATTTCTTAAATTGCGAGTTTTCATCTGACTACATTACATCAGCTGTTTGACCAATCAACAGCGATAAATTGCGCCAATACGCGGAACTCAGTGGAGGTTTACTTACTTTTCGATAAAGGGAGTTAATTAAATGGATATGACGGAGGCAGATGTCCATTACAATATTTATTTTATCATAGTCTAAACTCCACTTCAATTTTTACTCACTCCAATTCCCCATATGTGGGAGCGTAGAAAAGGTCAGCGGCGTCATTCTGAATGATGGCTCGTTCATAAGCGGCGAGAATATGAAGGTCGTTCAAGGACAGCTGTGTCGTGAGGACCATATTAGCCAAATCGTTCTGCAAAGTCTTCACACGAAAATGCGTGTTGTTTCTTAGTTTCATTCTGTGAAAGAATCTAAAACAATTGCAAGGAATAGTTATTCGTGTAATGTGCTTGTTTACTCATAAAATTACACAATATACAATTATATAAAATGATGTCAACAGAATAAGAAAGTAAATATAAGAAATTCCAGTAGTTGTAAAGAATATTTAAATGTTTTAAAAAGACATAAATAATTCATCATTGGTACTACTCTTAGTATCTAAGCTAGATATGCCTTGCCTCTTAGATTTCTGAGCTTTTCCTTATAGTACAATCAATCTTTTTTTTTTCTTTTTTATACAAAACGTTGCTCTTACTTTAGGATAACATTATCTTTGATTGTAAGGACGTTTTACAAACATAAATTTCACGCGAACAAACATTCTTCGCACCCAGGTGCGGAACAACTATTTGTGGGTCACACAAATAGTTGACCCGTGTGGGGATCGAACCCACGATCCCCGATGCCGAAACCATCTTCGCATCTGCGCCATGGAGTCATCACGGTGTCAATGGAGTAGGTACACACGAACATTTTTTTGCAAAATGCTTCAAAAGCCGTTAAAACCATTTCAATTACCAACAATTTTGTGTAAGTTTATTTGTATTTTCTAAATTTATTTCACATCCTATTTCTTCTACTAGTACTCTATTTCTTCGTATTGGAAGTTTATGAACTAAACCATCAATATATGTTTGTGACTGCGCAACGGTCACAGACATGTGACCGTATGTTTTAAAGTAAGAAATAAAAAATGCGAAAAAGTGACTAGTAGCAGAATCCTGCTCACGACTGGTCTTGTTTAGGGACGTAATAACATCGATCGACCACACACACCGAGCAACGGTCACAAATATGTGACAGACATTTTTCAAGTAAGAAACCTAAAAGGTGGAAACGTTACTAGTAGCAGAATCCTCCTCACCGCTGGTCACACACACTGAGAAACGGTCACAAATATGTGACAGAAAATTTTCAAGTAAGAAATCTGAACGATGTAAACTATGTTTCAAGAAATCTAAACGGTCTAAACTTCAGAAATCAGTTTAGTTAAAACGTGACGGTAAAAGATACTTACCAATCAAATCGCAAAATAATAGAGAAGTAAATAAAATTTCCCAAGAAAGATGAATATTACGAGAAAAAAATGGAATCACAAGGATATTATAATTTGGTCATTCCTACGCTTTCAGCGAGGAATCCGTTACGGTCTACGAAACATGCGGTCCGCTAATAATCCTGTCAGAAGTTATATCACAAGGTTGTCCGAATCTGCGTCATGTAGGGATTACGAGTCTGCCAAGGAATTTCAGCGGATACGCAATAAAAAAATAGGTTAATGGCTATACGAATATCGCAAGTAGACGTTATGCAGCGTCAATATCACGCAGTTTCGTAACGGCACGGAAGTGTTTTCGCGGTAATGTACTTTCGCCATTTTGTTTATTATTCTGTGCGTATAGTACTGAATAAACTGGTTTCATATTTTCAGTTAAGATATTTTCCCCCGTTTATACAGCGTGTCGTTACCATCGCGACAATAAATGAACACACGTCTATCGCTACTTGCCAATAATCATAAAAAAATATTAACGTTAAACAAAATCCATAATTAAAAGAAAAATATTTTTCAAACAAACTAATTAAGTAAAAAAGAAACAAAATTTGTAACATCCTATACAACTCGCGCACAGCGTCACATTACAAGCCTCTCCTTCTAACAGTATGTTTTGTCTCTTTTAAATTCATTCAACCCATTCATATGCTTTGTGACCTTTACAAATGAACTTTACGTTACGCTTTTATAGGTAAGGGTGTTCTAAAATTCTTTGTTTTGAAAAATTTAATAACTCTGTAAATATTGATGTTTTAAGAATTTAAATGTTTAATACAACTTTAAAAAGTTATCCCCTATATGTGTGTTCATTTATTGTCGCGATGGTAACGACACGCTGTATAAGTTGGTTGTGTAGGGGAGAGGTGGAATACTTGATCCCTGTTTTGGTTTTCTTTTAGTAATTCGAACCATTTTCATAAATCTGACTTTCTTTTAAATCACACATGTATTTCCTTTCAATACTACTGATTTAGCACCAATACAGACCTTCTTATTTATTAAATAAAACGACAAAAAGGGTTTTTTTAAAGTCCGATACAAGGATCAAGTAACCCTCCCTATGGGGATACTTGATCCCGGTGAGTGGGTTGTATGATCCCGGAGGATCAATCATCCCACCGGTCAAAGTTTCAGCCATAGGCCTACCTAAATATGGAAATTAAATAAACTTGGGTCTACTATTAATAAGTTGTAACTAACGATTCGAAGGATGAGTAGGTACAAAATGAAAACAACATAAAAAACATTGAAAACACAGACAAAAAATAAATGGGAAAATTATTCGAGAAGTGGCACGGAATAAATGTCACGTGTTTTTGAAAATTTCGTCGGCTCCGGCAAGTGTCCCAAAATGTCACCCCACACATAAAATATTTCGTCTTCCCTTGCTGGCCACTTCCAAAGCCTTCCACTTTTTTCCATTGCTTTTATTGTAGCCCCGTTTTCATGTATTTTTGTATTTTTTCCTGGGTATCACAAACCATTGTAAATTGCAACTACAAATTCCCCTATTTCTTTTCTGATGGGCTCAAAAGCTCTATGACCCTCGCCGTCGCTACATAACTCTTCTTCCCCCCCTGACGATGATGGAAGTGGAGGACATTCATCAGAATCAGATGAGGTGTCATCGTCAATTTTTTTTAGTGAAAAGATTTGTCTCACTGTTTTCTTGGTAGGCCTATTTTCTTTAATCTTCCTTTTCATTTCTATCTCCGCTATCTTCGCCAACTTTTTATTTGATTGTTCTTCGATGGCTGCTTTTTCCGGAGTATCGGTTAGGATGCGAGTACGTCCTCGCTTTCTCCCGCGCGACGACCGCGAGCGTGGACCTGCCTTGGGGTAGGGCATGATGTCCTGTGGTGAAAAGTGCATCGGCACTGATCCTCCAAGTAAGGATGGGGAAGCGCGTTCACTCACACTGCTGCTTTGTGGACTTCAGGGCTCCTGAAGTGGAGAAGGGAGAGGGCAGTCCGTCGCTATGCTCACTGCTCTGTATGGGATCCTCAAGCGGGGAAGGGGGAGCACAGTCCAACGCTGCCACACTTCTCTGTGCTGGTTCTTCAAGTTGAGAAGGGGGAGGGCGGTCCGTAACTAAACTGGTCATGAACTCACTCTCCGTGAAAATGTCGGCATTTATGGTTCATATTCCAGCCGCCCTGAAGCCACTAATTATATTGGTAGGCACCATAGCCCTTGGGAAAGCTTCCCCTAACAGTTCCGAAACGTCGTAGATTGTGATTGTTCTCCCGGGGTGTCTCAGCATAAAATTTGATGCTGCCTGAGAATAAAAGGTTTTTAAGGGGCCAAAAACAGTCCTGTCTAATGGCTGCAGCTTGTGGGATGTGTGTGGTGGAATTGTGAGAAGAACGATTCCGTTGTCTTTTGCGTAGTTGAGGGCGTCGACAGAACAATGACTCTCGATTGTCCATGATGATGAGGTGTTTCCTATCAGCGTTGGGTTGAACATAACGAACAAAATGCTTGAGGAATTTTATAAAACTGTCGCCCGTCATCCATCCACTAGGATGAGTAGTTGCATCGCTGCTAGGAGGGGCATGATTGAGGAACCTATCCTGCCAGTTTTTTCGGGGGAATATCATGTATGGCGGGATGTGGCCCCCGGCAGCGTTGATACAGGCACAAACGTTCGGCTCACCTCGTTCGGCCGATGTCATTTTTCCTACTTGTTTGGAACCCTTAACTGCAATAATTTTGCTGGGTTTATGGACAGTTGTTACCCCTGTTTCGTCAATATTCCACACCCTTTCGGCAGTAAATTCTTGCTTATTAAAAACTGCAGTAAAATTTCCAAAAAATTCCGCCACGGTGTGTTTATTAAACGCTGTCGCTCGCGCCAAGCTGGTAGGCTCTGGAGTTCTTAAGGATAGAGTTTGCTGTCTCTCCAAAAATCCACGATACCAATCGCGACCCGCCTGTTGCGAGTGATCCCATGAAGAGGGATATTTCATCTTATTTGCTTTGGCGAATTGGTAAGCTACCTTACGCAATTGTACAACGGTAAGTCCATAATACATTTTAGACATATGAACAAGATACGCTCCTAGCTCATCCTCGTGACGTTTGGTCAAAATTTGTCTATTGGTAAAACCAGGTTGAACATAAGAGTCTCGACGGCATAGCCTTTTAAGTGTCATGACATTAATTTTAAATTCTCTTGCGACGGTTTTGTAAGCAGCTCCATTTTTAACTGCTAAAAAACAGCAACAAGATGAAAACATTTGATTCGGAAATAATTGAATTTACACAGCTAAATACACACAATATTTCATAAATATAAACAAAAAATTGTAAAGTACACGTACCTGAAGTTTTTTGAATTGTCGTACACTAAACAAAACAAGTAACATCCGGTAAAAACATAAATTTCCAATTATTTTGGCAACGAGCTGTTGTTTCGGTTTAATGTTTTTTTTTTCGTATTGGTCATCATGGCGGCGTCCCAATGCAGCCAACAGAACACGTTTAAACACTTTTTGGCGCTAGTTTTAAATGGGGGATCATGTATCCTCGGGGATCAAGTATACCACCTCTCCCCTATAGAAAAGTAAGATTATTTTAAAGGGACGTTTATTCTTGAGTACTTCAATAGACATGAAATGTACTTATACTTTCTTATTTTAAAATTGGATATATCTCATCAATTAAGACACCAAAATTCTCTCTAAGACTCATTTTCAGAACCAAGTTTAATTCGTGTTTTTTTCATACTTACAGAATCGAATTCTGCAATCCCATCATGCCGTAACCGCCAAGATTGATACCTGCTGGTATGAAGCTAGGATCTCCTGCAGCGTTATGAATTTCCCTCTGCGCAACTCCTCGAGTCTTAAGCATCATCTGCAAATGTCATTTTTTTTATTAACGTATCGTTATAAATAGTCAGTGCAGCGATTAATCTTTCCTATCATATTGTCAAGACAAAATTATTTGGTTTTTGCTGGAAATTTATCAGTTATTCTGTATCTTCGTACTTAAGGAAATGAAATTACTTAGTAGTATCTAAACCACGCTCTAATTAAAAATTCTTCACAGAAATTATAAAAAATTGGTGTTAAATGTCTTTCCGTCTAATCATAAATTAAACATTTTCAAAGGTCTTCACGGATCTAGTACGTTTACGAAAAGATACAAAAAAAAGCATTTGCTGCATAGAATTGTATAAACAATCAAAGGTTAGTTTCATCATTAGGCCCACATGACCTTCAATAAAGTTTTTTTATATACTTGTAAAATAATATTTTTCTACTAACTGCAAAATTTTTGTGCAATTTGAAAGCAAACAATGTGAATATCTAGCAATCAACGAGCGTGTCTATAGTAAATATTTCAAAAATATCTGAAGTCTATCAACCTTGCTGTGTTCAGGTGGCGGATTGTGACTCCCTATATTGGTAAGGCGTTTGCCTAGCAGTAGGAAATGGAAATGGCATTTGCATTACTTTTATGCTGCTTTGCTCCCACCAGCTTGATTAGTTACAGTTGTATTTTTCTAATGCAGTATTTTTAAATCTAATAATGAATGGCAGTAAGTTTAACATCACATCGTGCATCGCACAGAAAATTGCTTCGAACATTAATGCAGAAATATTTCAAGATATAGGATGGAAGTTATAATCGATACATTACATCCAACATGTCTTTGCTAAAGTTGCTGTTTTCTGCTGCCTCTTGAAACTGCTTTCGAATTGATGCAAAACGATCTGCGAATAATAATTTTTAGCCATTACAATAATTACTGTGTGATTCTTTTTGATAAATCATTTAAAAAAATAACGTCTAGAAGGATATCTTTCTTTAGTGGTAACCTCAAGGATACATTCATTTACTTAAGTCAATTATTGAAAAATGTTTTGTGCACCGTGTTGATTTTTTGATGAAGTACTCTATTAAAATTTAAAATCCTACTATCTACGCAATATTGAAGAAACGGTGAGGTGATCCATTGATCAGAATTATAATATTTATCGTTATTTTTGTTTAAATATATAGGAAAACGTGTCGAACCTGTTGGACTTAGAATAATTGTTCTGTATTCTAGGTATACTAATCTAGGGATTTAAGACAATATGTACCGAAATTATTCGATACTGTCACAAAATGTGACTGTTGCTTAGTGACCTTAATGACTATTTATTTATTTCATATACACTTATACAATCTGTTTTTTCTATTCATATTATTTACAATAAAATTTCAGTAAATTTAGGTAATAGATAATTTAAATATTCTATGTATTCTGAGCTGACGCTGATTTTTAACTAATTACGCATTGTAAGGTTGGTAGAGAATTATTTTTCAAATAATTAAAACTTTAAGAATTAATTTCAAGGACTTCATGATACCTGGAGTGTTATGTGCTAAAAATCATTGAAACAAAAATGGAAACTGGCATAGTTAAAGCAGGTTCCCCTAAACTATTTTAATTTTGGCTTTGATATTTTCGATTAAATTGACATACCGTCCAAAGCGTCCATTATTTCAAAATGTTTTTTTGCGTCCACTTGCATCCAGCATTTCTCTTTTGAATTTTTCTCTTGAAACACTTTTGCTGACCTTGGGGGAATTCCATTTTCCTCTTTTTCGTTTGGATCTTCAGTTGCTTTAATTGGAATCGGATCTTTATTTACAATACTGGGACCATCGGTATCAATTTGTGCAGGCCCTTCCAAAGTTTCGTCCTTTTTATTTGTATTTTTTTCAGTGGCATCTTGTTGTTCGGCTTCGCCGTTTGCGTTGCGGTTGTTAAGCATTACTACGGGGCCGAATCTCTTTCTTGCGTTATTTAATTTTCGCAAACCGAATGGAGCTGTATAAAATAGAATAGATGGAAAACATTTCACGGTCTCATGATAGGTGACTTTATATCATGGCTATAATCAAATAGGATGATAATATGAATTCTTTATTGGATTTTGTATGACTTTGTCTACTGTTTTGTTTTGTTCTAAGCTTGTATCCGCCATGACTATAATTGTTTGTGGATAGCGACGATAATTTTCACTTATGTGAGCCTTTTGGTTAAAACGGTGATAGGGATACTAACTATAGCGTTTAATTTCTTTTTAAATGCCTTAAGTTGTGTGTCCCCTGCCAATGAATACATTTGGTTTACATCTTAACGTTATATTTAACCGAGGCTGACATTAACATTTAGGTTATTTATCTACGATTGATTTATGCATAACGAACTTACAACGTATTAAGGTCTTGTATCGCTGGTTGGCTTGATTTTACTTTTTTTTAAATAAAACGCTATGAAGTCTATGAAGTGGTGCATTAATAATGTGTTCATCCGCATATCTAAGAAATCATCTGGGTCATTTGCAAAAAAACCTTACCGTTTTCTTTCCCTAATGTTTCATTTAAATCACTGTACACTTGTGACGTAAAAATTATAACTTTAAGAAGAGTAAAAATAATATATTTCGTATGGACCATGATTTTAGTTAATTCATTGCAAACTTTGTCGAAGAGAAAAGTTAAAATTATAAGTCCTTATCAGTGTAAGCAAAGCGAAGTTGATGGGAATAAAACGGAATTTCAATTAAGTTTTTATTGCTTGTGTTTTTACTTTAACGATCTTAAAGTCAAAAAGTATCTTCGAGAGTTATAACACAAGGAGACTATTAATTTGTCAACAATTGGAATTGTCAATTCCAACCTGGAATGCATAAATGTCGTATAAATACCCTTATATAATTTTTCACTTATGATGTTTTTGCTCTTCGCTATTTTCGCCATTTTTATCAGCTTTATTTATATTACTCCGAGTTCTAACCGCTGGTTTATTGCTTTAAATTACCTGTATCATATCTTCAAGTTAAAAAGAGGCGATGTCGTAGGTCGTAATAAGTTTAACGTGCTAACTTTAATGGAAATATACGAAAACTGACATTACAGGCTTTTTTATATATAATATAGCATAGTAAACAAGACAGATATCACATTTTACTATTCTTCGAGTGTAATTGTGTAAAAATGTTTTAGATGTCACTAATTGTAACAACACTGTATGTGTATGTTTGTGAGCTTACATTCAATTTATTGATCATGTCCTTATTTAAATAGTTTGGATTATTTTTTATGTGAAATGTACCCTAGTATTCAATCACCAGACGAAAGGCAACATGTAATACTTCCTCTTCACACCGGTCTTTTGTGAGGTTGTGGTACTGCCCTGGACGAGCCTGCCCATACGTGCAAGAACTGCTGCGTGGCCATATTAAGGTTTTATGAACTTGTGAATTATGTAGGCCTTTCATATCGATGTTATTTTATGCATAAGAAATAATGAACTAATTGACCCGTGCGAAGTTTTCGCATAGTACCTTGATCAGTCACCGAATGGTAAACTAGAAGTAAAAATAAGTATTTATCAATAAAGTATATCTTATATTCACGAATATTCTACTTTTCTATTTTTCATTTAAACAAATTGTCATTGATCATAGTATCATCATAATAAATTCTTATAAGAAAATTTGAAAAGATTTCTTTTTCATGAAAACATCAACAGAAATATTAGAAGAAATTCCGCTAATAGCAGCAAATATAAGCTTTTAAATGGTGTTTTTATAATTAATTTTGATGTAAAATTATTGCGTACCGGTAAAAAACATCTTCGAGAAATAATACACTGAAACAATAGGCCGTATTAGGCTCGTTAGTAATACAATTGGATCTTTTTTGGGTCACTTGTCTACTTAGATTAAAGACTTTTTCTGTTTTATTATTTTTCCGTCAATAAGCCGGATGAGGGTGTTTGCCTCGCAGATTCCGAACGCTTCATTTATTACAATAGTTTATTGGAAACTTACATGACATAATAAACCACTTAATGTTAACATCATATAGCTAAGCAAGAGAATTTATTAATTGTCATTAAAAGAATAAGTCTCGCCCGGCGAAAAGGGGTCCTAGATCTAACAAAAATTATTTTTTTAAATTCACATTAACACAGCAAACATAATCAAAACAAAACATTAAAAGAGCTAAGTATCCAAGGTCGACGAAACCGTTTGACACCAGGGTCGGCACAGAAAAGAGGTCAGATTCATAATACAGTATATGCCTTTTTAGTGTGAGGACACATTCCATATGAAGGTTAGCGACTACTTCCGTACAAAGATAAAACCTAGCTTAAAGAACCGTGATGAAAGTGAATCTGAGGTTATCGTACCACAAACTTTTTTTTTATGATAGAATGTGGCATACACGCTGTCGGTTCACCTGATGTCAAGTGATAATCGCCGGCCATGGACATTTGCAATACCTTTAGGGCTGCAAATGCGTTGCCACCTTTAAAGTGGGCCACTGCTACTTCACTTACCAGACCAAACGCAGAAGTGTAACATTTCTATTTTACGCCGGTTTCATGTGCAGGTCGTGGTACTTACCCCGACGAACCTGCCCATTCGTGTAACAGTGTATACTGTTGCGTGGCCGTACCACAGAAAATTAGTTAAGATAAGTTACAATATATCTTATTTATAAGTTGTAGGGTAAAATAATCCAAGGGTAAATCTTCACATGTCCCTCACTAAACACGTAATACTTGTGTTTGTCATCGTTGAAAGTTTTTGGCAGCTATGATTTTCTACTTCTAAAATATTAGCATCATCGTCCCATTACAAGTTAATACAACCTGTGCCTGTGCTTGGACGTAGTAAAAATTGGACATAGGGCTACCCCAAAGTTGTAATAAATATAAGACATCAATAAGCCTTCTTGTTCCTCCTAAATAATCTATGAAACAAAGCCGCGTTTATTTATACAGCCGTTTCGAAAGCCGTCACTTTACATTTCATGCAAATTCAGATAAACTTTAAGCAGAGTTTAACAAGTACGTGACAATTTCAAGAATTAACTATACAGTTTTTTAAGAGAGCCGGTAATCGTCACAATTTTCCGATGGTAATTGTACCAACCGAAATCTAACGCGACCGTTCACAAACATGACGTCCGTATATCATTGGTCCTCGCAAGGAAGGGGGCGAAGTTATTAAGGACCCACCGAACACTACACAACTATGTAACGTACAATAAATATAGTTTGTCCTCCTCGACGAGCACGGCGGAATTAACTCAATGCGTACACTAGTTAAATACACTCTCTTTCCAGGTTGATTCTCACGGCCTTAAAGAATAAGCATACAACTGCCGACGTTACGTTAAGTATAAATGACTTCGACAATCCCTTCATTTTTGTTAACGTACGTACTATACGTATACATGTGACCATGCGTGACTCTACTTATAGGTAGAGTACACTGAGCACGTGAAAACATTGCCTTTGCACGACCTCTGCGCTCTATAAAGTAGTAAAAGGACTACTTTCAGTACTACCATTAATCATCAAAAGTCGAATTTCAAACATATCGATGACGATCCTATCGGACCAATGGGTAGCGACCCTGCCTCTTGCGCCAGAGGGTGTGGGTTAGATCCCCACCACTGAAAAAAATGATAAGTGGTACAGATAATACAAGCGTTGCTTAGTTTGGGACTAGAAAACGTTGTGTAAAAATGTGTCCTGAAATATTTATTATTATTTATCGAAATTTTTTTGTAAGACATTGATTCGATTTTCGAAATATTTTGTAAGATATGCAGGTTTTGTCACGATGTTTTCTTTCTTCGCAATACCAATTTCATTCGTGCCACAACCGGGACTTGAACTCGGGTTGTTCGAGTAAAATGAATTGAAAGAGAGCGCTCGGACACTGAGCTGTCAGGTCTTTCAAAATAAAATGTGTGCAACGAATAAATTATTTATTAATTTTAAAGTTTTTTATAGTGCTTAATCTCTGCACTGAAGATTGAACATTAAAACATGTAGAAAAAGTACGAAAAGATTGTCGCCGCTGTGGGAATCGAACCCACGTCTTCGGCCGTCAGGCCGTCAGCGTCAGGCCGCGAATGCCGAAGACGTGGGTTCGATTCCCACAGCGGCGACAATCTTTTCGTACTTTTTCTACATGTTTTAAATTATTTATTATTCGCCGAGACTTAATATGCGAATTTGAAAACCTTAATAAATATAGTAAAGTCTGTTGGTAAAAATTTTAGAAATTCAGCGACTGGAGATATGAACGTTAGGTCGTAAAATATTTCACTTAGGTATCTTTTAATTGAATAACGTAACAAACTTTACGTTGTAAAACTTTATGGTATGTTTTAATGAAAATTTTCCTCAATGTCAATTGAAACCTGGAACCTTGAGGCGATATGAATTACCGCCTTGTTTTGTTCACAGTTTTTACATCGATATTGGAATACTATTCGATTAGGTGTGACGTTGTATCGGACATATTGACTTATTACAACGGCGGTAAGTGGCATTAAAATGATTTACTTTTTCGTTTTAACCATAGAAAAAAATAAACTTGAGAGGAAAAGTTTTATTCTAAAGGGTTAATACTTCAATTTTGTACGATGGAAACATGGCGGAACTCTAGTAAGTGATCACTAACGCTCTTGAACATGCACACAGAAAGTATTCGTAAGGTTACACCGAATGTGTTGTGAGCTAGATGAAAAGTAAAAGCGTAAACTGGCAATACTTATATGGAGGACAGATTGAGCAAAGGCCGAAGATGGTGCATAGGTCTTTAACATTGTTTAAGCTCGCAAAAAATTAGTAGATAAGGAATTTTTATCGTAACTGAAAGAGAAGAAATACCATTATTGCTATATTATGTTCATGACTGTTTATTGCAATTTATTTATTGTAATTTTATAATTAGAATGTATGAGTGGCTGTAAATTTCACGCCTCCTTTTTATTGTAATGTTTTTAAATCAAGATTATGAAACTGATTAACCAATCGCTGTGTGTAACAAACCAATGTAGCGTAGAAAAGTTGAAATGAAGGCAGTAATTGGGGAGTGCAATATAATTTTCAAATAAAATTCAGTTCAGCGTTTTACTATTTTTCACTGTTTATATACTTTACTGGGGACCTGCCCCGGCTTCGCACGGATGCAATGTATTATACATATGAATATGAACCTTCCTCTTGAATCATTCTATTTAGTAAAAAATGACATATCAAGATTCTGTTGTCTAGTTTTAAAGATCTAAGCATACATACGGACAGACAGACAGCGGGACGACTTTGTTTTATACTATGTAGTGATTATCTAAATTACAAGTATTTTTTGTACTTACACAGACATTGTACGATCGTTTCAAAAACAATGGGAGAACAGTCGAAAGTCATACGAAAACGCTTTGAAAATCGTAAGTAGAAGAGTAAATTGAATTAGTTAGAAGGAAAACACGTATTTACTAAAGTGCAAGTGATAAAACTTTTTTAAATTACATTTATAGAATGTATGGCAAAATACCATACACAAGGATTTTAATAGGTTACCAAATAGAAATTAAAAAAAAAACAAGCTTAGGCAAAACGTGATATTTAAATTTTATTTGGTCTCTCGATTTTATTAGGACTACTTAGTTAAAAATAAAAATTTTCAAGATATTGTGGTCATATAAATATGCAAACATTAATTAAATAATAGTAAGTTTTTCGCGTACATAAAACGCGTAGATACACTAAAAAACGATACTTATACGAAAATGATACTTAAAAAGTTCATGTTAAGTGCAGAGACTAATTAATAATAATACAAAAAAAAATTTTTTTATGTACTTTATGCAATTGCCTGAAGATTGAAATAAAAAATTAACTGTCAGTAATTAAGCTCAATTAATTACCTATTCCACATGTCTTACACCTTTATCTTCTATTAGCTACACTTATAGAAAAGTTTTGTAGATAGGAATAGTGGGCGTCTCGCCAAAACGTAGCTCCAACTCATAAAATTCAGCCTTTTAGATAGTAATGATTTTTTTAAAAGTATGTGGATTCCTAGAGATATTCTGTAAAATAATTTTATTTAGAAAATTTTTTTTTCCTTTTTATAGGCAATAATCGAAAATTTCGGTAAAAAAAGTATGAACACTATTGAAAGGAGAATCGAAAATGCCTGCAAATTATCCAACGGATTTTATGTTTACGACAACGTGGTTCACGTGTAAGTTTTGTAAAATTAATTAATATACTGCAATTTTTCAACGCTACAAAATGTATCCTAATCTATTTTCATACTTTAATTTATCTTAATTTTTCTCTGCAGTTTTACTCCGACTTTTTAATTCGCTGAAGTGTGTTTATTAGGGCTTAACCATTACCAGATTAAAAGTATTTGGTACCTGTTGCAATTTTATTTACCACTTTGAAGCCGAAATGATATCTTATGGAACTTGAATATCTAAGAAATAAACAACTGCGAGTATAAATGCCAATCTTGATAGGGAGCACGTACGCACGTACTGTTTGTTCATAAGAGGCCTTTTCCTAGATGTGTGATATGTATGTACATATGTTTAGGCTCTACTGAATTAATTCTATTTATCACATTTCTTCGTTTATTGCAATTTTAGTCTTATGTTTTTTTTTTCTGTAAGGGAACACTTATCCAATAGCTAATAAAATTAACAACGCAGGCTACGGACAGAATTTCTTATTTTTATCTACTAATTGTGAGTTAAACTCATAGTGACTTTGTATTATCAAATAATATTCGCAGGATTTTCCACGACATACACCTTAAAGAGATGCCACACATAAAGTACTCGGAACTATATTTCCCCTTGGCCAACAACGTACTTAGCCTGCAAACGGAACTGAGCAAGATAATACTAGAAACAAAGTACAATTTGATGAGGAACAATTCTGAAGTCTTGTTCGCTGGCTCGAATCTGGATACGTATAAAAACTCGCCGTTTGTTTTGCAGCAAGTCCAGACTAATGGAAATCTGGCGTAAGTGCAAAATGCAGTAATTAAAAAGGCGATTTTTTTTATAACTATCTGATTGCGAAGTGTACTCTCTGTGACGTTCCTAATTTTGAGATTAAATTACTACTACTTCCTGACCGTTATCGGTCACGGCGACTGCTTCAGCTCCGGTGGTTTAGGCGTTTGAATCGGAGCCATTTTTCAGAAGCAGTCAGGTGCGCAGGAGATATTATAGTGCACAAGCGCATGCGCAGACACAGGTGTACTCTCTCGTCCTAGTTCTCTTTTCCCCGATGGAACGGTGAACCGCTACGACCGGAAGAGACCTCGGATGCAGTGTCTGGTGATAACCATGGGACCTGAAATTTATCACCTCGACCTTCCACAATGCCTCGCTGATGACTAACGAATACCCACGCGGGAAACTTCCGCTGGTATAAGGGAGATTGGAGGGGAAGAAAATGAAGAGTGGAAGGTGTAGGGTTAGAGCATACCAGTACCCGGGTCGCGTACCCGTGCCCTAGCTTGTGATGAACGGACAGTTCATCATAGCAGAGCCCTCTGAACTAAGACTAAATATAAACTTGAGACTAAATATAAAGTAAATAAATATAAAAATGAGTGTGTAATTAATTTACGCTCGTTAGAAGTTGTACTTCTTTAGCGTAACAATAGAAAAATAACTAAAAATGTCATACCCTGTAGTCTGTCTGTCATACTCTATCTTTGTGAAAAAAGTCATTAAATGCAATAGATAACGGTTTAATTGAACAAATTTGAATAAAAGAATATGAACCAATTTATTTATCTAATATTTACAAGATTAAATCTATGTAAAATTACATATTATCTATTAATTTAATTAGGACTTATAGTCAATGTCAAAAAGTTCTTATTCGTTACCATGGTTACCATTTTTATTGGTTACCATGGTAATACCGTGAAGTTGGTCGAAGTTGGCCGCTTTGCAACCGGTGTTATCATGTTGTTTTTTTCCAAACGCGCCAAAAGATGTATAACTTCAAAAATTACTCCTGAATTTAGATTATTTTAAACAAATCTTTTGTTTAACAAAGAGTAAACATAATAAGCTTAAGAAGTTGATTTTTAATTACTTTTTAATAAAATCATTTTATTTCTCAGAATTGTGGCAGAAGACTGCAAATTAAGTGGCTTTACTATTGCATCGTTAAGTGGAGTTTTAGGACACGATACTTTTAGGATAAGCAACTGCAAATTTACCGTTGAGGTATGTAATTATTAGTAAAATCTTATTAAAGTAAAATTTCTTCAGCGGCAATTCAATAAAAGTAAAGTAATAGCCTTTATATGTTGGATATGCCTACACTGCTGAGCAAAGGTCTCCTCCGTACAGAAGGAATTAGGGTTTAGTTCATCACGCGACAATATTGCTTTGTATCATAGTTTGATAGACTTCACTTACTTCCGAAAATATACAGGTTTCCTAATGACATTTTCCTTCATCGTTGAGCACGTGATAAGTCAGCACTTCATTGGTAGCGGCACTGGGATTCGAACTCAGGTTCTCAGGTTCCCAGGTTCAGGGACTCTATTATATTGAGTGTATAATTTCAAAGCCGTGCCACGTTTAGACACAGTTTTTTACATGAGAGAGAAGAATGATATAACTTAGAGGAAGGGAGAAACAGAAAGAGAGAGAGAGAGAGAGAGAGAGAGAGAGAGAGAGAGAGAGAGAGAGAGAGAGAGAGAGAGAGAGAGAGAGAGAGAGAGAGAGAGAGGGTAGACCCATACACTTAATTAACACAAAGTGATAGAATAAGATTGATTCGGGCATGTACGCATGTACGTAGATGTTACCGTTACAAGTTGTGGGAACAGTGTAGTAACGGCTAGGTAAAACGCGTTGTGCATTTGGTAATTGATGCTTATCATTGTGTTGTTTGATAATTATCGACGTTTTTAAGAAGTTGAACTTCTATCGATTCTATAGAGTGTTTTGTGATATATGAATATTTAAAATTTTTATAATTACGTGATGTAAATTACACATAACGACCTTCCAGTGTACATTTTATCGGAGTGATACTTAATTGTTTGACAATAATTTAGATATTAATAATTGTTTCGTTTTATATATACATATTGGCGAACGGCGCCGGCTTCGTACAGGGGCAATGTAAATATCAATGCGAGGCAGTGTGGAGTGATTAATAATATTATGATTTAGACTTTAGTACAGGATATCTTTATATACATTGTTAACAGTTTTTTTATTATAGAGTGCAATCATGTTTTCTAGGTTACTCTCGATAGCGCCAGCCCATAATTATAACATATACCGTCATGGACATTTTAATCGATCATTTTAAGATATATAATTTTGTAGTACATTTATTTGATTTAACTCGTAAGGGTTAGAGAGCGTTCGCAATGTGAGCACACAAAAATATGTTTGTTACTACATCGCATTACAAATAATTTAATTTCTCAGATTTACTTTACTATCATGAATGTATACTACATACAAATCTTCCTCTTGAATCACTCTATTTACTTAAACAACTGTATTAAAATTCGTTGCGTAGTTAAAAAAATCTAAGCAACCTAAGTAATCTAAAGTACAAACAGCGGGAGTAACATTGTTTTATATAACACAATGTAACGATGGATAACTGAACCTTGAAATTTTTAATTAATATGTAAAGTAATGCATTAGGTAATTTCTTTCAATTTATTAATGTGCTTTAAAGCGCAATATGTCATTATTTAATATGTATTACCTTATCGTTATTATTTTGTATTCAATGAAGATAATGAACATTAATAACGTTCTCCTTTCACATCTTAGTGCTTTAATATCTCATGAAATTGTATTCAATTCAATTTAGTCCTTTTAATCATAGTTTAAAAGAACAATTGATTAAAATCGTTATAAGTTTAATCTTTAATTTTTTTTGTATTCTATCGCGATTTAATACACAAAATTTCGAATGTCGCTTGTGAAATTAAAAAGTACTATGTTTATAAGACTTTTTTTATTTATTTTATAATGGTGGAAGGAGCCACTAAGAAAAGGCATTAAGAGATAGATTCAGTACAACAGTCAAATTGTCGAAATTTTCATTTACTCTCGCACAATGAACTAACCATTCATAATTAATGTTACATGGATATAGAAGATTAATGAAATAACATTTCATTTACAGATTTCTGCGGAAGGTTTAGGCTCGCCGCCTGTAATAGCACCCTATTTTTCAGATGAGCAAAGTAAGGTGTTATGCCAAAGATTTGTAAAGGGTTCAAATATTAGACAAATCAGCTTAAACAAGATAAATTTTTATTATTTTATTTTTATATTATATTTTTATTTCAAGGAGTTTTACTTGAATAGTCTCATAAGCAACCAGATAAGAAAGGAACTGATGGGAAAATTGCAAGCGGCCATGTTTACTTATGTAAACACTTCTATTTTCGAAAATGATTTAATCAAGTATCGGTGAGCGGCTTTTATTGTTAAAACCTAATAATCAAAACGTGTTTCTTTAGTAATAATACATTTAAGAAAGGTTGTCACAAATAGTGTAAGTATAAAATATTTGTCTAAAAATTATAATTGGTTGTTGGAATTGCCTGCAAAAAAAGCGCTTTACTATGGGCTTCTGCAATTTTAAAATGCATGTTTTTTTTATCAATTTAAGTTACGAGACATGCGAGCTTTTTACATCGAAAATATTAATTCCAAAGTTTTATGCCACTCATTATGAATACATTCAAAAACGTAAACAAGGTCGAAATAAATGTATACTTGTAGCCGTAAGGGATCTGTGTTTCCCCATTCCCGCCCACTCGTTAGACCCTTATAATAACGTGTTTAAAATATGTATTACTATAATAGCCATACATTATAAAGATTAGATGCGCGTCAAGGCTCTGATGTTTGATTATGGAAGCATTTTTATTAAATAACAAATAGAGCTTTATGATTCAGATATTAAATAGAAATAAACGCATACTACATTCATAACATGTAATTTTATCGTAGGTTAGTAGACAGTGAAACATTGCCGAAGTGTTTTTAAAATTTTATGCTTCTTCTGGGTAATTTCTTTCTTGATCTTTTCTAAGATTTCACTATCTCATAAAATTATTTCTGTGGTTTAAAACATTTATGAATACAACAATTACAAAGTACATGGGCACTACATACTGTTACGTGTTACAATACATCAGACAAAAAATCTATAGGTATAAGAAATTACAATTAAATATTACAGCTACAGTTAGTGACATTTTTTGTAGAATCTTATTGTATCATCATCTTTAAAAAATTTGATGAAGGTTGAATTGAACTCCAAAAGCTGTAAACAAAAAAGTTTTTCGATATTTGTAAGACTAATCGCCTTAAATATTTCTGCTTATCGTAGTATTTATATTTTATAAAATTTTCACGTCTATAGCAACGAGCAGAATGAAATCTTCAAGAAAACATCGAAACTCATTAAGGATGTTATAAGAAATGCTAATAAAGAGAAGATTAAGACTAATAAAGCAGCACACGATCTGCGATCACTAGATATTGTTTGGAATGAAACAGTAAGAGTTCTTAGATAAAAGTTAATGCTTTAAAAAATACAGGTTATTATGACTGGGTTCATTCTGAACGAACATGTTGAAATTCTAGAATCACAAGTGTAAAACAACAAGAGCCATCAAGCTCAAGGACATAGTTTTGGATGGATTCGATTCAGTTTATTCTCCACATATAGGGGGGCCATATAAGTTACAAAAAGTAGGAATTGCAGAAACTTTGAGATATAATACTTTAAAGGTATGAATTTATGATGTTTTGTTTATTGAAAACGTACTCCAGTAAAAGTTTTTATGAGAATATCTGATTTTAAGGTACGAGGGAAAATATTTTTTGAACAAGATGATTTTAGAAGCGAACATGACTTTTCTATGGACCTCCTGGACGTTACTGTTAATATAGATATGAACGTAGAAGATACGTCACAAGGCTTTAACTCTAATAGTTATGTTTTCTGGAGGTAGGTCAAACAGAAATAATTAAGAGGTTTAAAAAAATTACGATGTGTAATTCGTTTCAATTTAAAATTGTACGTGTTTAGTAGTTTTATAAGAATTGCAATGGGATCGTCGATATACCTTGATATTAAACCTTAACAATAGCAATTTGTGTGCAAGTTATTGTCTTCGATATCCAATATATAGTTAGTTACAAATTTAAAAGCCTAAAAGTAATATAAAGCAATAGACATTCTTTATAATGCTAAATTATTGCAGCGCAATTTAATATTTTCTTTAAATACAATTTTTTTCTAATGCTGTATGTAATGTGTGCTATAGTGTTTAAAAAAAGTAAAATATCACCCTATATATGTCCCACTGCTGAGCAAAGGCCTCCTTTATACAGTGGGTATCAGGGCATAGTCCACCACGCGGCCCCACTGCGGATTGACGGACTTCACATATCTTCAAAATATTTTTTTGTTATTATTTCGAAAATATGCAGGTTTCCTCACGATGTTTTCCTTCACCGCTGAGCACGTGATAATTCAGCACTTAAAATTGACAACTTCATTGGTGCTGGCACGGGGATCGAACTCAGGTTGCTCGAGTATATTAAATTAAAGGCGAGCGCTCGGACACTGAGCTATCACGGCTCTATAGTCTTTAATCTCAGTTATTTGAGATATATTTTGTAATTAATATATAAACTCGCTTAAGCTACCGAGATTAACTCCGCGTTGTTTTCATATAAAATTCTGATTTACTCGTATTGTTATAAAGTGATGTTATATAGCGTCAACTTACAAGGTTTTGTGTTTAAGCTAACATCCAATAGCGATAATTTACGAGTTGGCGCTATTCAGCTTGTAACGAAAACAATTTTTAGAATTGCTCGTTTAAATTTACAAAAATCATAAATAAATAAGTAAGATATAGTAGACGCTAGACCACGCAAGTTAATAGCGAAAGTGATAATATTATTTCAGGGATACAGTTTTTTCAATAACAAATATTGAAAATGTCGACCAGAGAGTACTAGCGGAATCTTTGATAACTGGTTATTTAATAAATGAAACACCAAAATATGTTTCAAGCATATTATTGAAATCGACTTATCCTGAAAAATCTAAGCAAACGGAAACAGAGGAAACCAATGATAAAAAAGGGCGTAATGTTGAAATCGATCCATCCGTTAATACCGAAGAAGCCGAATTAAGTAAAAATGAAGAAAATCGTGATTTAAGCTTACCAGATAATGATGGGAATTTAAAAGAACAAGAGAACGAGGCCCAGACAGAAGATGAATCAACATTAAAGGGCTCAGATATCGAAAAGGGTGAGCCAATGGGGGTAGAGGTGAATATTGCATTTATGGATAGAATGCCTAGTGATGAAAATGTACAAGAAGCTGAACCTGACCCTCTTTTAAAAAATGATGATAGATTAGGCATTGCTTCTACATACGCCGACGAATTGTTAAAGAATAGCTACGAAGATGATAGAAGAAGAAATAAAAAGAGAAGCAATAAGAAATATAAGAGATACAGTAAACACCGTCAAGATATGCTCAGGACTAAAAAAGGAATGAAGAAAATACTCAAGAAGAGAATGCATAGTCCCATAAATATGTCTGAAAATGATATATGAAATACAATAGCTTTAAATAATCATAAAATATATTTTATTTTAATTAATATATTACCTGCTAAAGATTAAATATAAAAAATCTAATAAAAATTAAATTAAAACACTTTTTTTATGCGAGGTTCTTAATGTTCCTAGTATCATGTGTAGGGTCTTAGTTTAAAATAATGCTTATGACTTCAATTTCAAACAAACTCTGTATTTATTTTTTAGTTATGCATAATAGTGCAAATAGCACCTGCAATGAGGGAGTAAAATTGCTTTATAAAAAATTTGAAATATGGATATTTTCGACATAGGTAGCTAGATTTTTACGTAAACGCCTTTAATATATGCATATGAAAATATCGTTGATGATTCTCTTTACGTAATATTGAAAAGGCTTATTTCTTTTGTCACGTGAAACTTTACTTCGGAGGGTTCAGGGCTTCAATTAACCTTTTCTCCAAGGGTTAATTAAAGAGTAGTAACTGTTTCGTTTAGTGTTACGTTAGCGGAGCAAAAATAGACCGTTCATATACCTTAAGCTTGTTCCGTTATTTACGTAGGACGTAAGGTATACCTTTTCACTGTCTTAGTATAAATCGAATAAACCATTGAATTTAGCAAAAGGCATAATACCACCAAAAATATTCTTTGCAAAAGTACCTATTATCAATTAACATTGTATTATTGTATACATTGTATATTTTTCAAAAACCAATAATAAAAATATTTTAATGCATATATGTAAATATTTAGTACATTTAAATAGGTCTGTAGGCCGCATTATCATCATCCATATCTGCTGTAGTACCTTCGAAGTGTCGCATGGGGATTGGATGCCTGCAAAATGAAATAATATCATTACCCTTTATATGTTATACATTTTAAAATTGGCTTTTTTTAAATGGGAAGGTATATTAAAGTTGATAAAAAAATAATAGTTGTTTCGGTCCGACTGTTAACATAAAAATTAGGGATTGAATACATACAGTTCATTAGCATTTTATATTTTTTATGTTTAAAAAGCTTCCAATTAGATATTTAAGATACTGCGCTTGGAGATCTCTGCTAAGATATTTTTGAAAATAAAATATAATCACTACGGATAAGATTTTGTTATTTGTGACAGATCGAATAATGCGTCAAAAGTTTGTTGGTCAATGTGTTTGAGTATAAATCAAATTGGCTGTATCAATATATACAAAAGATTTACATTTTTTATCTTATTTTCTGACACTAATATAGCGTAAATTCAAAATAAATAACGTAAACTTATTCAATAAATTTGTTTAAGAGGTCGAGATCGTTTTAATACCTTGTGGGAATACGGCCTAGATTCTTCACATCCTCATCGGGTATCTCGCCAGATTCGTCAACTCGGTTGATTTTCATTTTCGATTTGATCTTGTCCTTTTCTTCCACATCTATTTTATAGAAGTAATCATCCGGGTCCTTTTTCGTCACATCGGCGGATACATCTTTCACAGGCGGGAACTTCCTCATGATTATTTCGGAGCTCCCACTCTGCAGCACCGTTGTCTGCATCGCTGAATTGGGAACAATCGAAATCCGATGCACCGGTGGTGTAGTGAACCTAAAGTAGCTCACTGAGAGCTGAAATGCAAAGAATAATCATCTAAATTGGCGATTCTTTCACGAGTGATAGATTGCTTTGTTAAATCCTTTAAAAGTTTCACTGCTTCTACCTACATTGGTATGCTTGTTTGTGTGTGTTCATATCGTGTCTTTAAAACGTCAAGTTGTATTTAGTGTAGTAGAAGTTTTATACAAAGCTGTATATATGGTAAAAATATTGATAGGATTAGCGAAGTGATTGTGAATTTCGTCGGAATACCATCCACGTTTTGGAACTTAAAACATTGACTACAGCGAGTGCTATAAATTTCTTAAGATCTAAAGTTCTGTAAATGTTTAAAGCTTACGCCATCGGGAAGGGTTTTACTTTTTATAGTGTCTATTAAGAGTAACTTATCAACTTCACCTCCGTGGATTGCTGTTCCTCAATGTCTTGACTTTTTGAACTCTGAGTTTTGGAGAACTTCGTGAGCCGTTCAGCGTATTTTCTGGTATCCAACGATTTAACAAGTGTCTCAGAAAGAGGTTGCTTGTCGCCAGTCGAAGGAACTGGTTCCTGATAATCAGCGCTTATGTTTGAGAATGCTGCAGAGAAATGTTATTGAAGTCAACTTAAAATCTATAAATATTATTTTAATTCAATTGCTTTTTTATAATGGAAAAGAGTATTAACTCCTAGATATGTCCATTGCGACCAGGGAATGTGTGATGGAGTAGTAGTAGAAACTGATTTCATTGGCCTATTTTTTCGGTACTTTTATATCATCCAACATCGGTTTGCAAAGTATCCTCTTAATTGAAGAAGTAATATTTTCTTTAATTACATGTAAATTAAGCTTATTAAAACTATAATAGAGACTAAGTATTTGAAAAAAATATATAACACGATGCTAGAATATGAAAACACAACGTGATTCACATGAACAGACAGTTCCAATAATAGACCGATGAAATAACAAAAACTTCTTAGCCTACCAGTTTGTTTCCAATCCATCTTTCACCTCAACTAGGCATGTATATTGCTGTTAGTAAAGATAGGTATTTATTTTCTTTTCCTAATATATTATAAACGTTTTGAGTGAAGCAACGTTTATCAAACAACTTTAAAAATAGAATTAGTTCATGGTCACTATCAGTAATCATGGATTAAACAATACTTAACTTTACATTTTTTACATTGTGTAAATGTTATCAGAGTTGTTATCCAGTGGAAACGATACTGTAAAGTAAAATTCTTATAAAAAAGATTAGAAAAACTCACCATCAGATGCACCACTCATTCTTCTTACACCGAATTCCGCTAAGTCCGGGCGATCATTCATTTGACCGCGGCGCATGTACACGGTGACGTCAGATCCTGTAAGAAACCAGATTTGTCGTAGAGCACTTGAATATTTTAAAGGTGTCTTGAAAGACTAGCGTAAGGTCGGGTTGCCTCTTTTCAGGATCAAGGTATAGGACGTTTCTATTTATATTGGAGTCTGGATTAATCAGCTCTTTAAACTAAATGGAATCTCACGAATTCCTTGTATTATATAGTGATTTGTATCTAAATTGGTCACAATGCAATACATACATACATAATTAGTAAAATTGAACATAGTAAAATTGAACCACAAAAAAATATAATTAAAGTAGAAACGTAAGAAAAATGCGTAGATAAAGAAAAATAAATATGTGGAAGGTAATTCGAAAGAAAACCAGGTGAGACATTAAGACAACGAATAAAAAACGATAAGCACAGTTACTTAAACATATCTAAATATTATACAATATAATGTTTTTAATTATTTTATTATATTATAGACGTTTTATCTGTGGTAGGGCCAATCAACAGTCTTTGCTGTTGTAAGATTAGGCAGGTCTGTCCTGGGTAGTACCACGACCTCATAGAAGAACGGCGTTACGTAGATGTATTATACTTCAGAGTTTCGTTTGGTGAGGGAGGTGGCCGCGGCCCACTTAAAAGGTTGCAATGCATCTGCAACCCTACGGCTGTTGCAAACGTCTATGGGCGGCGGCTAACACGTAATATCCGGGTAACCACAACCTCTTTTGCCACCTTCTCACATAATAAAAAAAGACGTTTAGTAATATAGGGAATATAGAAAATAAAGTAACAAATAAACAAACAGCCAGGAAGATACTGACTAGTGAATGTGATGAATTCTGCCATCGAGTAGTTGTATCCGTACGCGATTCCGGCAATAATGCAGATACTGAAACCGATGCACATGATGCAGATCAGGAAGGCTAGGAGGCAGAACGTGATCGCCCTGTACCATGTCAAAGGGTAAACATTTTATCGAATAAAAAATAATACATTTAAACAGTAAATATAGGGTGATCGACTGATTTTATGAGTGTATTCAGAGCAGCGTTTTCTAATGCAATATCAAACGATAATCTTGTGTTATTACACGCATTATCCAAGAGATGTTTTATAGGTGCGGTATCAGAAACTTTATTAACCTGATTAGCACTGGCTAGTTAACGGTTTTAAGAGCACCTATGTACACATTTATATTTAATGAAGGTAGCAAATAGGCCATCGCAAGGATACTTGTGTCACTAGCGTTACTGACCTTTGAACGACATCCACACTCCACGCCAAACAATTGCATAAGTAGCACATTGTCCTCACGCGTAGGGGTTAACTTTAGATCTCATTTTCTGTAAACAATCAGTTCACATGGGTATTTTGTACTTTAACTCGTTCTTTAAAGAACGTTTTCAACTGTACGATACCATCACGTTTTAATTACACGGTTATGGCAATCTGTAATGTAGAGAACTCTCATTCTAGTCGTTTGTATGATGAATTTGTAACGATATAATTTGAATTGTGAATACGAATAAATATACGAATATATTTATTATATATATAAAATATAGGAAATTGATATGTGTTTAGTTAAGAAAATTATAGCCGTTGTTATATTATCATGTACAAAATACTATACAACAACCATTTGTTACTTTGACAGTAACAAACGCTAATTTAGCGCACCGAACAACATATATAACAGGTTTAATATTCAAAGTACCCGGAGGACCGAGCTTTGCTTGGTTTGTTTATTTTTTTTTGGTAAATCGTGTATTTTGGAAATTACAATTAAATCAAATATTTTTAATCAAATAAGCAAAATATTTTTCGATCTTACCGACATAATAATAAGAAAATATGAACTGATGTTTTTCACAAAAGAACTTTAAAAAAACGGGAAAAAAATAACAAAATAACAAATCGACAAAAAATTAAAAATAAAGAAAGCAATGATCTGGAATCGAAAAAAAAGTAAAAAAATAATTGTGTAAATGATCGTGACGCGAACCACGGCCGTCTGATTTGGGGCCGCCCGATTATCGACCGAGCTATTATGACATTTTCTCTTGCGGCGAAATTTACCGTCATATTCGAATTATATTTTTCATTCCCTGAAAACAGGGATAAAAGGGCATTTTCTAAAAATGAAACCTAGCTAGATCGATTTTTCTCCCACGAATCTACGCACATACTAAATTTCATGAAAATCGCTGGAGCCGTTTCCGAGATTCCCATTATATATATATATATATACATATATATACATATATATATATATATATATATACAAGAATTGCTCGTTTAAAGGATAAGATAACATTTATACAAAATTGAGAGATGTTATTACTCTTTGAAGAATGCAGTAATATAAATAATTCATATCTTGTATGTACTAGATTGAAACTGAGAACTTGATTGGCCTCGCTACATATATTATTTATTACGAAAAAATACATCTATATTATTAAAGCACGCTACAAAAGACCCTTTAACTTTTTTGAACACAACACAAAGCGAATTTATTTCGTAAAATATTAAAACGAGAAACTGAGCTTGGCACACCCTTACCGCAGACAGGACTTTGTAAATGATTAAAAAATCAAAATATGTATTTTGCTATGCGTTATTATGCTTAGGGTTTGCGTATGAATTGTAAGCTTTTGGATAGATATTTACAGTCCCCCAGCATTTATAACGGTATTGAAAAAAAATGTTGCTTCCTTACCATAAATCAATTATGTTTTTTAAAAACAAACACCGAGAAGTCTAAGTTATAAACACAGTTGCTTTAGAATAATTTGTTTTATATAGTTATCTAGTTTAAAACAAAACCCAAGACTTTTCGTTGTGTCCATTTAATCGTAATAGAAATTCGTATCATTTACCATCGACATGTTTGAAATAATGTCCTAGAAGGGTGATTGATCATCATAATATACTAAACATTTTTCTAACGTTAAAGAAATAATTATAGAAACAATTTACTACAATGTTTACACAAGGATTGACTTTAGTGATCAGTGTCAAATTTTGGGAGCGTCTTTAAGAAAAGATAATGGCATAAGATATTTTGCCTTCCTGCCACTATTATAGATTTGGCCACTATTAGAGATATTTATAGATTTTGTCACTTTAAATTTTGTTTTTAATTTCCGTACATGCTCCTGTGACTAACTATACTTTACAAAGTATGTTGGATAACTTTACGTTATATAAGTTCTTATTGAAAGGGGTAGTGCTTATAACGCATCACTTCAAATCCATTTTTTTAGCTAATGATTTTTCATTCTTTATAACTGAACACTTCAAACCAGTTAAGCGCTTACGAATTGGTAGAGAACAAAAACTACTTACCAATAAACTCTTCATTTATAATTTTTGAGTGGCTAACGAAATATAAAATATCGTAAAATAAACTTTTTGAAACTATGTGACATCAAGATTACCTGGCTTAATAAAGTTTTATGAATTATATGAAGAATTTAAAATGCTGCTCATCACATCAGGAGGAAACTTAAACCTTTAATGGAATATGTCTACGAGCTCGATTCACAGCTGAAATAATGGTTTGGTTATAGTTAAGACGAATGTTTTCAAACTATATTGTACCTTTTTCAATATTATTACATTCTATTCAGGTTATGACACTTTTTGTTTACACTTGTAGAAACTAGTTTAAGTGTTTTGTCTCGATCGTGAAGATGGCGACACGATTGTCTATTCAAATAAGCAGTTAAAGCAGCTTATACAGAAGATGACAGTTGCTAAGCTATTGCCTTCGCTGCCGTGTCTTGGGTTCGATTCCCACACGGGGTAAGTATTTGTGGCACCCACAGATCATTGAGGATCTGGGTGTTCGTTTCCAAGGAGGTTTGACGTCAGACAAGCGGCCGGTCGTAAAATTCCAGCCAATACCACTAACAACATGATTCACAGGTTGTGCCGACCAGCTAGGTGCAATAAGGGCAGGAGAAAGAAGAAGAGTGGCAAAAAGTAAATACCTGTCATGTGAATCGGTCATAAAATCTTTTTCTTTAAATGTTTTCAATATCTATTGATAGTTCTATCGATTAACATAGTTACGCCCGGTGTCTGAAACACTGATCATCGTAGAATTCAACTAATCAGTTGTCAAATGGAATTTCAAATGTTATTTGAGTTGGCAAAAGCATGGTTAAACTCTCTGAATTGATCAGAATGATCTCCTCAATGATCGGAATGATCAATTCAAACATCTTTAACCATTCTTTGGCAACTTAAATAACATTTGAAAAGCCATTTGACAGCTAATTAGTTCACTTCTACGATAATCCGTGTTTCAGAAACCGGGCGTTAGGTTCAAAAAAGCGTCTTTTTCCCTTAAATTACTACGACACTAGTTTTACGCCTGATAGTTACTTAGCGGCTTCTTGTTCGCGTAACTGGACATCCGTTATCTCGAATACTCTAAAGACTAGGAAGGGTAATGGGTTACACGTGCGCAGGAAGATAACATAATAAAATCTCTGCACGACTTTACTATTACGTTTGCGGAAATGGAATGAGGGGAATTATTCGTAGGACTTCGTCAATAACCTATTATTGAATATAACCAGTATACAAATAAAATTATAGGTCTGCAGTTGTGCGCGTATGCACAGAAAAGCTACTGAATAGATTTCAAATAATTCTTCTAGTTTTATTTCAGACACTTAGCCCATATTAAAAAAAATCTATTATATCTTTCTACCAGGATTTAAACTGAGGTTGCTCGACTATATTGAATTAAAAGCTGTCACATGTAGATACTTACCAATTAGTTTAATTAATTATATTGGAAAATTTTAATTATATTATAATTGGTACGGAACCCTTCGTGCGCGAGTCCAACTCGTGCTTGGCCGGTTTTTTCTCCTCACTTACTAGTTAGTTAGTTATTTTTATGATGCAAGACTTGTCCGAAGCCCTGAAAACTACCGGTTCTGTAATTGGCACTGTAGAGGGAAATAATGATAAGAAACTAGGAACTTTGTTTTGCGCAAGGTTATTTGTTTTATCGCCGCGTAGAAATTTCGCCTCCATTTAGTGGTGTATTTTCAAGTCGGGAGAGGTTTATTTACATCCCTTTTGTGCAGACTCGTTTCCAGAACGACCTAAACGTTTCCAAACTAAATCAACATCGCAAGTATACGCGATAACGTCTGCAAATTTGTTCATTCTTGTTTTCTTCTCATTTTCAGTCTGGGACTTTCAATTAAAACTGGCCATAGCGACCTCGTAGTACCGGTTCGCATTTAGTTATCCCGCAACGCTTATTGTTTAATGTAAAATTCTTCTTATTTGGCTACGATCATTCGACTAGTAATATTGACTATACAACCTGTTTTTATTAATAACAGTGAAAGGAAAATATTAGATATGACGTTAGTGACATAAATCAAAAAATTGTACTCTCGCTCTTACTTTCAATAAATTTGTGGGTTAAAAGATGTAGTTTTAACATGTTTGGTCCTTCTAGAACCGGATTGAGAAAGTGTAATAAGTGCTAAAAACAATAGTATAAAAGGCTAAGTGCTAATTACTGCGAGTTGGTAAGATTAGACTTGAATTGTCATAAACGTAAACAATGGCTCAACTTTGTGAATCACAAAAAACGTTATCGGAACGTATTTCTAACCTACAAAGTAATACTAAAAAGAGGTCTAAATCAAGATACACACTTGGCTATCTACAAACACGCTTAGAAACATTAGAAAGCTATTGATCTAAGTATCAAACTCAATATGAGATGATTAAATCAACAGTTACGAAAACTGAACTGGACCAATTACAATTTAATGCCGAAAGTCTATACGAGACAACTGAAGACATATACCTAGAATTTAAGGGATTATTAAAGGATTATTTGTTGGAATTTTCGAAAGGTCAAGGTCAACCACAATCAAATAATACTACGCAGAGTTTATTAGCAACGAATGATGGCGAGACCACCCCGATTAGAACTAAATTACCTCCTTTATCGATTCCGAAGTTCGCGGGTAATTATAATGACTGGACAAGTTTTAAAGATTTGTTTAAGGCTCTCGTGCATGACAACGTGCATCTAACAACGATTGAAAAACATCATTATTTAAAAACGAATTTATCGGGAGAGGCTGAACAACTTCTAAAACAATTTGCACTCACGGAGGCTAATTACGATAAGGCTTGGAGCACACTTGAGAGTAGATACAATAACAAACGTATGATTGTCACTACAATAATTAGCCGCCTTTTAAATCAAAAGAAGATGAACACAGAATGTTTTAAAAGCTTAAAGGAAATTTTAG